CCGTAGGTAGGCCCTTGGGACATGTTGTATTCTCCAGCGGGTTTAAGAGGATCATATTCAGGAATATTTTTCTAAGGGTTTTAAGGGCCATCCTAGCCCCTAAGCTGCAGAATCGCTAAGGTGATCAGCTTCATGACGGAGTGGAAGAAGTGCGAACTGCACGGAGAGCAATCCGAACACGACGAGACAAGCTTGGAACTTTGAGTTGCTTGCAAGGGTTTAGGGTTTAGCGTTTGGGGTGTGGGGTTTAGGGTTTAGGGTTTTTTAGGGTTTGGGGTTTGGGGTTTAGGGTTATAAGTAACCCAAGCAGTCCCATTCTAGTTGAGTATCAGGCCTCAACATCAGGGTTTAGGACACAGGGTTTGGGGGGGGGGGGGGGGGGGGCGGGGGGGGTGGGGGGCGGGGGGGGGGGGGGGCGGGGGGGGGGGGGGGGGGGGGAGGGGGGGGGGGGGGGGGGGGGGGGCGGGGGGGGGGGAGGGGCGGGGGGGGGGGGGGGGCGGGGGGGGGGGGGCAGAAGGGGGGATTGCCATTAGGTTTTGGGGTTTGATTAGGGTTTAAACCCAAGCTCTGGGTGTTCAACTCGACTTGTTCATCTCCTTAACGTCTCAGGCCATCTTTCCCGGTTCAGATGTATTTGTATCTACCGGATCAAGAGCGTAGTCACCTCAGTCCCGTTTCCGTTTGGATTCTTCAGTCACGTGATGCAATTACTTCCGATTCCTTGCCTCGTGGGCTCTGGCTGCTAGCCGAGCTCGCCTCTGTCGCACGCTCAGTGGCCCAACTCTTGTCACAGTGCCGTGCGCACGCGCTACACAACGTGCCTGTTAGCCCGAAACCCCACCTGGGCCCCAAGCCCGAAGCCCCAGAAGCCCGCTCTTGAGGTTTCAGAGGCCACCCCACACCAACTTCCGGGCTTCCGACCGCGAAACCTGACGCCTACTGCAGTTGGCTTCTCTAGCTCAAGGTCTTCAGTTTTCTAGGCTAGAGCTGTAGAACCTCTGGTTCTAGAGTTTCTATCTATTCTATTTGGGCTTCAGGTTTCTACAACGTCGGGGCTCTCGGGTGCCGTCAGGTCGGGAACGGTGTTCCAGCGGCGAGGCAGTGCAAGCCCCAGGCGAGGACCTTTCTGTTCAGGGCCTTTCCTTTTAACACTTCCCCAACATTCCCTGTAATTTCAAGGTTGAAGGTTTGGGGTTTAGCTAGGATGCCCAGTAGTACCCTTATTCCCTTTTGGGGAGGGGGTTGGGTTCCCTTATAAACCCCTTTAAGCAAAAAAGGGCATCCTTTTTAAGCCTAGGTTGGGCAGCCTAGTTAGGGTTTAGGCGAATTGTTCATGCGTAGGTAGAGAGGGGAGGAGGGGGGCGGGTAGGGATTTTGGGTTGATGGCACGCCCTGGCGCGAATGAAAGTAACTTCCATATGTAGGTTTCGGACGAGGAGTGAGATTGAGGGCCTAGAAAACACCCTAAATCCTAAACCCTAAACCCTGTTTTATTTTGGAAGAGGCGCAACAAGACTCCCTGCTCGCTGACCCTAAAGTAAAGGCGGCCCAAAGCCGCCTCCCAGAAGAGCTGCAGTCGGGGTGGCGGCGGTGGTCGTGGAGAGTAGACTAACACATACGCAACCATACATATTCAACTCCATAATCCTACATACACATAGCACACACACACACACACACCTACTCAGACACGTTTACATATGCCGCTAAAGTGCAACAAGTTGCGGATAAATGTCAGAAATACTATCTATCTATCGATCTATCTATCTATCTATATACATACATACATACATACATACATACATACATACATACATACATATAATAGGCATAGAACTGTTTTCATGTACACCGTTGCATGCGCAAGCCACGAGCCCCTTTGGGTTCGCAGCGGAATGATCCTGGTGGCACAGTCCGGAAGGATCGGTTTGGGGTTTGGGGTTTGGGGTTTAGGGTTTAGGGTTTAGGGTTTAGGGTTTAGGGGCTTGGGACTACCAATGCGAAAAGAGTGATCAACGAGAGTCGAGACCTGCCCAGAGGCCCTGTTTGACTCCAAAGGGACGGCCGGCCCTCTACGCATTTCTGAAAAGCGCAGGAGATTGTTTTCTCACTTTTGCCCTAGACCTTAGACTTTAGCCCTTGGACTAAGGAATCTTAAACCCGCAACTCACCCTAAACCCTAAACCCTAACCCTAAACCCTAAACCTGAATTAAACCCAAAACCCCAAAACCCCAAACCCCAAACCCCAAACCCCAAACCCCAAACCCCAAACCCCAAACCCCAAACCGATCCCCGAATGATCAAGCTGGGGAAGGCCGAGCAGTACCGGACGTGTCGCCATTGCCGCTGCTGCCCATGCCCCAGCAAGGGTCTCTAGGGCTCAGGGCCAAGAAAGCTTAGGGATTTATAGGGTTTAGGGTTTAGGGATGTATAGGGCTTGGGGCTTAGGGATTTCTAGGTTTTTTTTTTTTTTTTTTGGGGGGGGGGGGGGGGGGGGGGGTGGCTTTAAAGGGTTCCGGGGTTTTGGTGTGTCGCCTGAAAGTTGGGTGAGACTGAACCTTTGTGCAACCCGAAACACCGAAATCCTGAACCCTAAGCCACTAAACTCCAAACCCCTACCGCCCCTTTCCCTGAACCCCAAACGCCAAACTCAGAACCTCAAAACTTATAAACCCTAAACCCCAAACCCCAAACCCCGTAAACCGCAAACCCAAACACCCCAAACCCCCCCAAAAAAAAACCAAACTCGGAAACCCCCGGAGCGAGCTCATCTCGAGGTCGCCCAGCTTGCCGATGACGGCCTCCATGGCCCTGGCGCAGGCAGATAGGCCGCCGCTTGGGGGGTTTAGGGTTTAGGGTTTAGGGTTTAGGGTTTAGGGTTTAGGGTTTAGGAGTTGTGTGGGGGGTTGGGGGTATATTTCGGACTTAAGAAACATCCGTGTACATATAAAAATACCCCAAGGCAAGCAGTCATGTTTGCAGCCTAGAGTAGGCGTGTAAAAAGGTACAATTTGGGGTCCTCTTTTGCCCCCGACTCTTGCATTATTCTGTTGAGCCGCGTGCTGTTCGAGGCCGTGCCCTCAAGCATCCGATCTTGTCGAAACCATCTATCATGATTGGCATCCATAAACTGTGAACCCTAAACCCTAATTTCAACCCGAAACTGAAATGTTAGTAATATGGTTGGCATACCCGTTTTCATTCTCTTGAGGATTTTCATGCAGAGCGAATTCTGGATACTCTTTGAGCCAGATAACTGAAGCATATTCATATGTGTGTGTGTGTGTGCACAAGTCCCTGCCGTCTACGAAATGAACCCTAAAACCCAATCGCAAGCCCAATGAACTTTAATCTCCCAAAGCTTGAGCCCCAGAGCCCAAGCTCCGGGGTGGAACACAAGCCCAGCCCCGAAGCAAGTTCATGGTTGGGCACGCGATTCTACAACCCTAAGCCTGAACCTTAAGCCCTGAAACCCGAAGCCCTGAACCCTAACCCCTGAACCCGAAACCCTAGCCCTAAACCCTAAACCTGAACCCTGAGAGCAGGCAGGAAGCTGGGGACGACCAGGACTTCTTTGCTGGGGCATCCCCGGCCCAGTTACGGGCCTACAGGCTGAGGGTTTAGGGTTTAGGGTTCAGGGGTTAGGGCTTAGTCGTTAGGGTTTAGGGTTCAGGGATATCACGGCTTGGCGGTTCTATTGGGCATATTTGTTTAGGGACTCAGACAGGGTTTTCATAGGGTGGCAGGATTCAAAGTCACCGTTTTAGTGGCCCTGTGGTAGAGCTTTAGAAATTAGCGTCGGCTTACAGGTCTTAGGATTTAGAGGATTCAACTTTCTTGGAGCTTAGGGTTTAGGGGCTAAGGTTGTGTTGGTGCCTTTGCATGAAGGTTGTTGCACTTGTCTACCGAAACGTCTTCGCGTGGGTGGGAGCCTCACCAGCTCCTGACAGGTCGTTCGTCAGATCCAGCGGGACTACTCGATGCTGCGAGCCGGCAATGCTTCCTGGCTCCTGTGGTGCCTCAGCTCAGAGACTCTTTTGCCTGATCAACCTTAGGGTTTAGGGTTTAGGGTTTAGGGTTTAGGGTTTAGGGTTTAGGGTTTAGGGTTTAGGGTTTAGGGTTTAGGGTTTAGGGTTTAGGGTTTAGGGTTTTGTAGTCTTCAGCATCAGTTTCATGTTGATGAAGAAACGAAAGAATGTTGGGAAGGCCTGCAACCCTCTGCATCCCTTTACCCTGACCCCTAAACCATCGTAGCTACCAGGCGCCTTCTTGACGTAACCATCGACGAGCTCTCGCCGATCCTCTCTGCGTCTGATGCCCCGGTTTACAGTGCCGGGTTTCGGGTTTGAGCTCGCTGGCTGTCAACACTGTCTGTGATTTTCAGGTGTGGCAGCTTTCCGGCATTAAGCTGTGGTTCAGAAGGAGGTGAAAAGCTGCGGGTATGTCCGTCACCCAAGAGCATGAAGGATTTCTGACACTCCGCTGTGGAAATGTTGCCTGAACCCTAATTAAACCCTAAACCTTAAACCCCAAACCCTAAACCCTGCCTAAAGACCCCCTGAGTTTCATGTAAAGTAGGGACCCAAAGCAGGCCGACTTTGGATCAGCCCCCTCAAACTTCACATTCCAGCGAGTTGACTGCTGCGCGCTGGTGTAGATCGCTGGCCTGCGCTTTCGGCTCTCGCTGAAAGTAGACTCTTGGTGTTCGGCCCGTGGCAAGACGGGCCGGCGTACGTAGGACCGAGAGCAGCGGCAAAGTAAAGACGAGGCACTCGTTTTCCAAGAGGGTCCACTCAGGGGGTTTGGTCATGGGTCCAGATCGAAGGAACTATCTGGGCCCCAACACCACACCAGAGAGTGTCGCTTGGGCACCCTCTGGCTCCCTAGGTGAATATAGTAACAAGAGCAGTAATAATAATAATAATAATAATAATAATAATAATAATAATAATAATACTCCATTTTGATACCCCTCCGGCTCCAAAGCGACGCTGAGCTGATGACGGCTCTGGACGAGGTGGTGGTCATCGGCGGCGGGGTGATCGGCCTGACTACGGCCCTCCAATTGCTGCAAGACCCGAGGATCCGGTGCAAGGTGGTGTACCCCTGAAAAGGACTTCCCTACTCAAAAGGGGCGCCCAAAAGAGGACCGCAAGTTAAGCTTTGAAGAGCCTTGAAGAAACTCCAAGTCCACGGTGGAGTTCATGGCTTAGCCCAGCTACGCTTAAGTCGTAGACATACCCTGAACCACTAGCACCCGAAACCTGCAAACCCCCAAGACCCCCAAAACTCCAAAGCCTGAATAGACCCTGCAGGGCCTAAACCCAAAAACTGTACAGGGTTTAGGGTGTAGGGTTTAGGGTTTAGGGTTTAGGCCCTGAACCCTAAAGGTGGTGGTTCTTGCCAAGAGCTTCACGGCCACCTGCTCTCACTCTGCTGGCGCCTGGTGGATTCCAGACCCCACGATGCTAGGTAGGCCATGGGATATCTTTTCCCTTATTGGGTTCAAGAGGATCACAAACCCTAAGCCCTAAGCTTAAACCCTAAACCCCAAACCCTAAACCCTAAACCCCAAACCCCAAACCCCAAACCCTAAACCCCAAACCCTAAACCCTAAACCCTAAACCCTACCTAGGAGGCCGACCTCCCCCTTCGCCGACGGCTCGCGCTACGCGCGCTGGGCGCGGGAGACCTGGAGGATGATGGAAGGCACTCAGGGCCATCAGCTGGTGGAAGGTCCGGGCGGGGGTTGGGACCATGAGTCCCCTAAACCCCCTTAACACCCTAAGTACCCTAAACACCCTAAACATCCTAAATTCCCTAAACACCCTAAACACCCTAAATTCCCTAAATACCCTAAGCACCCTAAACCCCCTAAACCCTAAACCCACGGACCCGAAGTGCGCGCTTTGGAGAGGCATCCGCTTTTGGGGCCCCCAAGTGCTCTCCGCCGACGCGGACCTGCCTTTGGAAGGGCCTAACTCTCTGGGAAGCTTCGTGCAGCAGTTCCAGAGGCTAGAGATCAAGACAGAGCATCCGCAGAGGATTCAGCTCGTATACCCAAAACCCTATAAACCCATAAACCTCAAGAATCGTATTCAAGACATGGTCGGCCCGGACCTTAAAAGCTCAGGAAGTTCTTGATAGCCAAATTGTCCGCAACATTATTGAGGCTAAAGGCTAAACCCTAAACCCCTAAACCCCTAAACCCCCTAAACCCCTAAACCCCTAAACCCCTAAACCCCGAAACCCCTAAACCCCAAAACCCCTAAACCCCTAAAACCCCTAAACCCCTAAACCCCTGAAACCCCTAAACCCTAAACCCTAAACCCCAACCCAGATTTCGCCCAGGACTCCATCCCCGACTGGCATGGCTGCCCCATCAACCTGCCACAGGGTTTCCAAGGCGAAGTGGCGCGCTTTCAGACGCGGACCATTAAGATGGACGTGCAGCTGGGATGAAGATCTGGGTTTAGGGTTTAGGGTTTAGGGTTTAGGGTTTAGGGTTTAGGGTTTAGGGCTGGGACTTTTTCGACTTAGGGCCCCCAATATCTACAGCAGAACAGCTGGGATGAAGATCTGGGACTTTTACGACTTGGGGTCGCGATTTCTACAGCGCAGAACTCCCTATCCTAAAAGCCACCCCCCCACCTCCCCAAAGCCATGCCCCCAGTACCCCTGCCCCTTTCTATAGGGAACTCCTCCCTCCCCAAGTTTCGGTAGCCCTGAACCCATCTTGATGCGACAACTACCCGGCCTACTGAAGCAGACTCTTACGGTTCAGGTTCTACCTAGACCAAGCCCTAAACCCCAAACCCTGAACCCTAAACCCCTAAACCCTAAACTCGGCAACGTTGGGGAGCTCATGACCTCAATGAAAGTGGCCGAATGCCTCGAACATTGCGTGGTGGGGGTGTGTTAGGCCCCAGCTGCAACCGTGAAAGTTTAGGCTTTAGGGTTTAAAGTTTAGGGTTTAGGGTTTTAGGGTGCTGAAAACCTGGACTACAGTGATGGTTTTTTCTGTCGCATCGCTTTCTGTTGTCGTGGCGCACTCACTGTGGGGGGGTGCATCGACTTTGGGGTTGGTGTTTGCTGTTGCTTTACGACTACTCCCTAAACCCTAAACCCTAAACCCTAAACCCTAAACCCTAAACCCTAAACCCTAAACCCTAAACCCTCATGTTTTCCCTTCATGGGTTTAAGAGGATCTTAGTCAAGACGAGTTTTGAAGAATGTTATCGCAAGCTGCGTCCACTATCCGGCTACTTTGTGATGTTTCCCCTTATGCTAACAGCCCTTAATAGGGATTGTAGTACCCCCCACCCATTTTTACCCTTATGAAGGACTGTGAGTATAGCTTGGGAACATCCCAATGGCTACTGCCTTACGATCAGCCCGTAAGTGGAGAGTGCAGGGTTCAGGGAGCCCCATCCTTAAGCCCCACACACCCTAAACACTAAAACCCGAAACCCTAAAGCCCCAAAAACCCCAAACGCCCTAAAACCTTAAAACCGTAAACGCCCTAAACACCCTAAAACCCTAAACACCCTAAACACCCTAAACACCCTAAAACCCTAAACCCCTAAACCCCAAACCCCGAAGGTATTTGGCGGATTTGCACCGCCAGCTCGATAGCTCGGGCCGATGTAAGTTTGCGGAGCTGGAGGTCAAATCCTTGGAGGAGGTCGTGGGTTCAGGAACTGGAGTTTAGAGGTTTATGGTTTTTTTACTAATTGCTTACGAACCCCCCAAAAACAAAACATATTATTCCTTATTAAGGGTAATATAGGGATTGTTTTTTTTCTGTTGGGGTTCTTTAGCAAATAGTAGTTTTGTTTTCAGGTTTTAGGTGTAGGGTCCAGGGCTTTTGTTAATGGACGCAGATGCACAGGGTTGACAGAGGTCCAGAGAAGATAGATAAAGCAGCATATAGCAATGTAGCCACGATTTGCGGGTGGGCATGTCCCAAGCCAGGGAGGTACCACTCGTATCCCCCAAACATAGAATAATTCCCTTTGCAAAAAGACCCGAAAGTATGAAAATTAGGAGCACACCCCCTCCCCCCCCGCCCCCCTGTTTTTGATCAAGCAGGTCATAACCGCCTACCCGCACGCCCTGGCCGTGGTCAACTGTGCTGGGTTGGGCGCCGGGGCGCTGGCAGGTGACGATTCCATGTTCCCTGCGCCTGGGTTCCTGTTAGGGAGCTTAATTTGAAGTGACCAAGCTCGGGGATATGTAATTGTATATGTATGAGTATATGTACATGTAGTAAGTAGTGCAGTGCAGTGTAGCGCCCCTTTCCCCTTGTATATGGTAACTTGGATCAATACTCCTCAACAGCAACCTAAACCCTAAACCCTTAACCCTAAACCCTAAACTTCGGCCCTAAACCCTAAACCCTAAACTCTAAACCCTAAACCCTAAACCCTAAACCCTCAACCCTCAACCCTCAACCCTCAACCCTCAACCCTAAACCCTAAACCCTAAACACTAACCCTAAACCCTAAACCTAGACCCAGGTGCGGGGGCAGACGCTGCTGGTGCGAGCGCCAAGACAGACGAACTTCTTTAGTCTGGTGAAAGGCCGGAGGGTTTGGGGTTTGGGGTTTAGGGTTTTGGGGTTTAGGGTTTAGGGTTTTAGTGTTTAGGATTTAGAGTTTAGGGTTTCAGGGTTTAGGGTGCCGGACGAAGGAGGATGGGGTGATCTTGTAAGATCACCTGGGGGCCAAGAACGATTTTGTATTCAGGAGCACTGAAACTCAAACCTCGAGATCATCCGGAATTCCTAAACCCCTGAACCCTAAAGCCCCCAGCCTCCAAAACCCAAAGCCCCAAATCCCCTTGGTGGCCTCCGAGGCGACAGTCGCCCCGTGTATGTCATCCCACATGGCGACGGCTGTGCTATAGTTGGTGGCTGCGCGTTCCTGGACCATCCCTTGGTGTGTTTTTTTCTTGGCCCTGTCTTTTACAAGGGGCCGCAAAATCTAAACGCATGTCTTTTTTCGGGGGGTTCCCTAAACCTAAACCCTGAACCCTAAACGCTAAACCCTATAAACACTACAACCCCTAAACCCCAGAAGAGTCCAGGTTCCGCGAGGCGGTTGGGGCTGCCGCCCTAGGGGGTTCGCAGCGGGCGCCTGCGGAGCAAGCTCAGGAGACGTCGGAGGTCGATCAAGCCCTGGGGGCGGAGACTCGACGCGAACTGTAAGAAGCGTGGTTCTCTAAATCGGGGTCCCTGTTTGTCTTGGGTCCGATACATCGTACCGCACCTTGAGAAAAAAGACCCTGCCCATCATAAGCCCCTAAGTCTAATACTGTATGTCTGGCTTGGACATTTACGGCTTGGACATTTAGGGTTTAGAGTTTAGGATTTAGGGTATTTGACCTGTCGAGCAAAGTTGCAATGCCTTGAGCCCTTCCAAGGACATCCTCCGCGCAGCCTGCGCCTGGCTTCCAGCCCTTCGGAAGGCCCCCCCCGATGCCCTTCTTCAGCGCAACCTTGTCTTGCCTTCCTTTTTTTTCCGTGGGGGGGGGGGGGGGTTCTTAAGCAAAGAGTACTTTAGTTCCGGTCTCCTCCGCTATGAATTTAGCAACCTTTGTTCAGTTCATACAAGTAGAGAAGCAGAAAGATATGGGCCCAACTTGCGGGTCAAATGGCTAGTGCAGGAGTAGGAGTAGAAGTAGGAGTAGGAGTAGTAGCAGTCGTCGTCGTCGTAGCAGTAGCAGCAAAAGCAGGACTAACAGTTGTCGTAGTCGTAGTAGTCGTAGTAGTAGCCCTATACGCCCTCAAACCCCAAATCTGAGCGAAACAAAGCACACAACCCCGGAGCAGGCGGAGCCGCTGCGCCAGGCGGTGGGCTGGCGGCCCTTCCGCGAGGCGGGCGCCCGCGTGGAGCGGGACCCGGGTCGTGCCAAGGCAGGGGCAGGGACTGGGGTTGCCTTCGATCGAAGGGGGGGTTTTGCCGTCTCCGGTTTTTGCTTGCTGTTTCGGTTTTTTTGTTCGGGTATAGCTGAGTGAGTTTGCTTTGAGGGCTCAATGACTTCTCGCTCAAACAATGAAGCTCCCCACAGACCTCAACTGCAACGGATGCAAAGGAAGCCCTCAAGCTGGAAACCTACCCTCTGGCATCTGGCTGATCAACTCTTAACTCCCGACCTCAGCATCTGCGCCAGTCTGTTTCTGTGGCCTCTGCCTGAAACACTTCTCCTAAACCCCTAAACCTTAAACCTTAAACCCTGGTGCCAGATATCGGCCAGGTGATCCACAACTACGGCCATGGAGATGTGGGCGTGATCCTGTCCTGGGGTTGGCGGGTGCACGTTGGGAGCAGTTTGCGTGTTGAAAGCAAGCGCCCAAGTATGCCCAAATCTATGAAGGAAGTGGGAGTACCCTAGCTTATATATACCTCCTTACAGGAGCCTTTAGCCCTAAACCCTAAACCCTAAACCCTAAACCCTTGAAGCCGTGCCTGATCTTTGCGAGCGCTTGACTCAGGCTCGGCCAAAGATGTCGCCGACCTCGTCGTCCAGATGAGCACCCAGATCCCCTCGAAGCTCTGAGAAGCTTCGAAGGGACCCCTCTTTTGTTGGCCCTCTTTTTGGGTTTAGGGGTTTTGGGGGCTTAGGGTTTTAGGGTTGGGAGTGTAGGGGTTTGAGGGGTTCAGCTGACTGCTGCTCACCCCACGGCGGAGCAGAAAACAAGAAAGACACGCGAGGGGAGCTGCCAGGAAGCACTATGCGAGACTGCACGTGAGCCTCAAACCCTCCATCTTGCGGGCCTGACTCCCCAAAATGCCATATGCCATATCAACCCAAAGAACTTTGAGTTGTTATAGGGCCCCCAAACCAACCCCAGTTTGAACCTTGATAGCCTTCTCGCTCTCAAGCTCATGATCCTTGGATCCCTTCTTGAATCTCATGGCATGCGAATCTGCCCCCTCAGCCCGTTATCTTCAGTCCGTTTCATCCCTGAGCCCGATCCTCGCAAAATCCTCCCCCCCCACCCCCCTTCTAAATTCGGGTCCCTCTTGGAATGCCCTGAGTATGCAGGTGGAGGGCTTAGCGGCGTATACGCTGGCCGGGTTCAGCCGTTTAGGGTTTAGGGCTTGGGGTTTTGGAACCGATTCTTGGCATTTGGCCCAGTTTTGTTCCGCGCGCCATTCGGCCGCCCTCACCCTGAACACTCTGAACGCTTGTTACTGCCAAGTGACTCCAAGCGAAAAGCGAATCTAGAAGAAGGACGCGGGTGCTGATTCCAGAAGCAGTTGCTAGAAGGAATGAGGCTGAGAAAAGAATGTCCAAGAAAAAGCAACTGCATTGTCCATGTTGCCTCACAGCTGAACTGCAAATCCTGAAGCCTGTAGATCCTTAAAACCCACTAAACCTTTAAACCCCCTAAACCCCCTTAACCCCCTAAACCCCCTCAACCCTAAACCCTGACCCTAAACCCTAAACCCTAAACCCCAAACCCTAAACCCCAAACCCTAAACCCTAAACCCTCAACCCTAAACCCTAAAGCCTCCTTCACCCCCGAGCCCAAAACAAGGTACAGGGCGCAACTCCGGTGGTTCTCCAGCCATGGCCCCGTTTGGGGTTTAGGGTTTAGGGTTTAGGGCTTAGGGCTTAGGGTTTAGGGCTTAGGGCTTAGGCTTTGGGGTTTAGGGTTTAGGGTTTAGGGTTAGGCTTTAGGGTTTCATGAGGGCTTTATCGGAATTTTGGGGGTCTACTTCGGGCTTATAGGGCTGCAGAAGCCTCAGGCTCCTGGAGTAGTCCCTAGCAGCCCTGAGATTCAGTTGGTCCGAACCCCCCCCCAACAAAGGCACGAAGCCCAAAACCCTAAGCCCTTAAACCCTGAACTCTGAACCGTAAACCCTAAACCCTGAACCCAAAACCCAAGAACCCAAAACCCCAAACCCTAAACCCCAAACCCTAAACCCTAAACTGTCAGCCCACCAGAACGCTTGGGCTGAGGTCTGATCACGCGCGAGGAGGCCCGCGTCTCCAAGGATGTGGAGACGCGGCCGCGTTGTTTGGGGTTTAGGGTTTAGGGCTAGGGTTTAGGGTTTAGGGTTTAGGGTTTAGGGTTTAGGGTTTAGCGTTTAGCGTTTAGCGTTTAGGGTTTGCGGCATGGCATTCCCTAAGCTCAAGCCTACAATGTGGATTACACCCTCTTTTTTTTTTGGGGGGGGGGGGGGGGCATGATTCGGAGGACCCCTGCTTGGGGAAACGCCCGTATGGGGGTTTAGGATTTGCGGTGAAGGGTCTCCTCTTGCCGGCAAGAGACCCCTACACCCGCTAAGGAGAAGCGACTGCTGAGAAGCAAGGCGGGGGGGGGTCTTCCTAGTTGGGGTTTAGGCGTTTAGGGTTTGTGGGGGGGGGGGGGGGGTGATCCTTAATGTAAGGGAGTCAATGGTGCCTTTTCTAAGAGACCCCTTTCTTTCTAAGGGTGTGTTGTTATTCTCAAAGCTGCCATCCATCTGGGACCTTCTAGCCAGGGGTACCTAGGTACCTACAAGGGCCCTGAACGAGGGGCATCTAGAGGTGCGTCCGATGTACAGAGAGACCCTCAAGAAGACATGATATCCTTTAGGGGGGGTTCTCTATCTTGCAGTCCTTGTGTGCTGTCGATGATAATACGGAGGCTTCTTGGGGTACTCCAAAAGGGCCCATAGTTTCCCGAATGCCCCACAGGGGTTCAGGATTTGGGGGTTATCTTGTCCTTGAAGGCTCTAGAAAGCTTTAACAGGGACGTTTTGGGTCTCTTTGGGGTTTTCAGGGTATCTAGGCGTTTATAGCGTCTTCGGGGTTATAGGGTTTACAGGGCTTATCGGGTTATAGGGTTTCTCGGGCTTTGTAGGCGTTATAGGGCTTAGAGGGCACACTGGGAGGGTAAGGCCTGCCTGTAGCTCTACATGAAGCAGGGTTTATATTACCGTTATTGGTGAGTGTATGTAAGGTTCCTTTTTAATATTCCTGAGTGTATATGCCGGGTGTCCTTTTGGGGGTACAAGAAAAATATACCCTACCTCACCTGCAGGGCAGAGGACGAACCCGTGGGCTGTCACAACTTTATGAGCTTCACCTACGAAACTGCAGGAGAAAAAAAAGCTACACGTAGACCTTAGTTTGGTGCACAGGGTCGGCTTCTGGGGTTTAACCTTCAAGCCTCACCCCAAACCTTAAGCCCTAAACCCTAAGCCCTAAACCCCAAGCCCTAATTAAACCCTAAACCCTAAACCCTAAACCCTAAACCCTAAACTCTAAACTCTAAACTCTAAACTCTAAACTCTAAACTCTAAACTCTAAACTCTAAACTCTAAACTCTAAACTCTAAACTCTAAACTCTAAACCCTAACCCACGACCTGCGCAAGTCGGCCTTCATGCAGGTAGAGCTGGATTGGGTGCAGCGCAAAGTGCGCCCCATCCAGAAGGTCATCAAGCATCTGATCAAGGACAAGGCAAAGCGCCGAAGTTCAAAGAATTTCGGGTTTGGGGTTTTGGGTTTTGGGTTTAGGGTGTAGGGTGTAGGGTTTAGGGTTTAGGGAAAACGTGTTATGGAAGGCTGAGAGATTGGATCCGAGGCGGTTGACAAGGCTCCCCTTGGCCCTCAACCCCAAATTCCAACCCCCAAACCGTAGTTGCCTTCAGTTCCCTGCTCAGGCTGCTAGAGCCGTGCTTCTTTTAGGGGTTAGGGTTTAGGGTTTATTAGAGTTTAGGGTTCAGGGTTGGCTCTGTCTCTGCATGTGCCTTCGGATGGTACAGACGGCAAGTAAACCAACGTCTGAGACCTGACAGCACGCTTGACTCTGAGAGCTTCACAATTCGGGTTTAGGGTTTAGGGTTTAGGGTTTAGGGTCTTAACCCAGTATACATAAACAAAAAAAACCGCAACCCCCAACAAGGTACCCTGCAAGTTGTCGTCACTTGAAACCTGCTGGGAATTCGTACAAAAAGCAAGCAAACAACACGAAACGCCAAGCCGTATGCCTCCTTGCGCCGTGGCAAGGCCATTGATCCAGACGTGACCCGATATCTCGAAGACGTCGAGGATCACCTCAACCTTTTCCTAGAGGAGGCAGCTGTTGTTGAGGTTTTGATGCGACGTGCTTTCTGTAGGGTGCCTGGAAGCCCTTTTGACTTAGTAAGTAAGGTTAGTAAGGTGGGCTATGATTGTGAGGATGATAATAGGGTTTCCAGGGATGCTCAGTGGGGCTTCGTACCCCTGAAGGTTGTACCTTTGGGTTTGGGAACCCTTGTGACAAATCCTCCAGCGGCATGCAAGGGCCATATTAGGAGGGAACCTTGTGGGGGTACATCCTGGAACCTCTTAGGGCTACATCCTTAGGGTTCCGATTATGACTCCCCTGATACATGGCAACTCTCTTCATGTGACAATCTTCTTCTCCGTAGGAAATTCAGGGATTCGGTTCCCTTGCACAAAATGGGGTTGACCTAAGTAGTGGGCCTCCATCATGATCATAGCCTACGCCACTCCCCCACAACAAAAAGGGGGATGCGAGGTACCTAGTGCTCCACGAAACCCTAAGCCCACAACCACTTGGGTTTTCACAGGTTCCGGACTTTGGGCTTCGGGTTTGAGGTTTAGAGGTTTAGGCTTATGCCGTGGCTCATAGGGTTTATTTCGGGTTCATCAGCTTTAAGCAGGCTACCAGAGCTCAATCAGGCTGAAGGGTCCAATCTCAAGTCCTGTAGATCTGATGAGTGGTTTAGGGTTTAGGGTTTAGGGTTTAGGGTTTAGGGTTTAGGGTTTAGGGTTTAGGGTGCAGGTAAGCCGCATCATTGGAGTGTGTAACTCCTTGCGGGATGAGGTGACTTGGCAGCCCAGTGGCACCCTTTTGCCTGTTTTGCTTCACGGTTCCCTAAACCCTAAACCCTAAACCCTAAACCCTAAACCCTAAACCCTAAACCCTAAACCCTAAACCCTAAACCCTAAACCCTAAACCCCTCCAAAACGGTATCCTTCTTGTAGTATGGTTACTGGGCTACCAAGGTGAACTCTTACAGAGACCGGCAACAGCAGAAGGCGAGTCTTAGGTCTTCCTTTGGGGGCTTCATGGCGTCCATCCCTAAACCCTAAACCATAAACCCTAAACCCTAAACCCTAAACCCTAAACCCTAAACCCTAAACCCTCTGAGTCAAGGGGAGCTGGGGTTGGGGCTGGGGTTGGGGTGGGGCTGGGGCTGGGACGCGAAGATTCCGAAACCCGAAACCTTCTCTCGTCCTGTTTTCAAAGCAGCAACCCCAAACCCTAAACCCTCAACCCTACAGTAAACCCTGTAGGGTCCCTCATCCCATCCTTTCGCTGCGTTGGGGGGGGGGGGGGGAGGGCGGGTGATTGGTGGCCAGGGGCGCAGGAAGCAGACAGTCAAGTCCTAAAACCTTTCTATGCTCTAAGCACTCTCGGGTGTCGACAGTATGTGATCCTTTCTTAGGTTTGGGTGTCTTTCATGTAGAGCCCTAGAAGCAGACAGTAGTTTAGAGAAACCAGTTGGGCATGTTTTGCGCAGCTCGTTGGCAGCTGAACCTTGCAGGAACTAGGGCAGGTTGGGGTTTCGGGTTGAGGGGCTTGACTTGCAGCTTCATGAGAGTAGGTACAATGATACATATATGTATATATGCGTACATATATATATATATGTGTGTGTGTATGTATTTACATATATATATATATATATATACATGTATATGTATATGTGTATGTGTATATGTGCATATGTATACATGTATGTGTATATATATATATATATATATGTATGTCTGTATATTGGTGCCTCGAGTATGGTGTAACAGCTGCCCCGGCTGCAACTTACTTAGAAATACATGTGCGCCGTGATATCAAGCTTCTACCCAGGTTCCCTGAATCCAGGTTCTCTACGTCCTCACCTTGGTGACAACGTTGGTGATGCCGACGCACCTACTGACGGGCATCTTCGGCATGAACTGGCAAGACGAGGCCAGCTTTTCTCTGTTGTTTCTCTCTCTCTCTCTCCCTCCCTCTCTCTCTCACACACTCTCTCTCTCTGTCTGTGAGAGGGAGAGAGAGATCATGTTTTGGGATGTTACCCTGAACCTTGAACCCTAAACCCTCAACCAAAACCAATCCCCTCCTGAATCCCAAATCAGAGCATCCTCCATGCTGGAAGCCCTCAAGCCTAAGCGCCTTCAACGACAAACCGCACCCTCATCCCTCACAAGCCACATACGGCCAAAAAACCTACAAATCCCCAGACCCTTGTCTGGGATGCCCAAAACCGTGGGTCTAGGGTTTAGGGTTTAGGGTTTAGGGTTTACACCCGAAACCCCGAAGCCAACTTCACAGAGGCTGGGCAGCCAGTGGTACCGGGGTTCGGCGTGATGGCGGAGAGCCGGGGCTACTACCAATTCTGGGGTCTGCCCGTCGTGGTTTTGGGTTTAGAGTTTTAGGGGGTTAGGCTTCGATGTCGCGATCTAAGTGTACGGTGTATGGGGTTTAGGGTTTAGGTTTCTGACGGCTCGCGGAGTCAGAGTTTGCCTGGTTTACCCGCGTTTTGCCGGCTGGTGGAAGGGATTTCTGAGGTTGGGAGCTCGGAGGGGTGAGTTGTCGAATGATGGTTTAGGGTGTAGGGCTTAGGATGTGGGTTTTAGGGTTTAGGGTGTAGAGTCTAGAGTTTGGGGTTCAGGGTGTAGAGTCTAGAGTCTAGAGTTTAGGGTTTAGGGTGTAGAGTCTAGAGTTTCGGGTTTAGGGTAGAGACCCCTCCCTTGCTGATCTCTTTCACGGCAGGGCATGGAGGTTCTTTTTTTAAGGGGGGAGGGGTGTCCTGCATGAGGGGACATAAAGTCCTACATCCTAAACCCGAAAAGGGGTTGAGGGGTGGTTTACGGGGTTTAGGGGTTTAGGGTTTAGGGGTTTAGGGTTTACGTGGGGTTTAGGGTGTAGGGTTTAGGGTTTAGTTTTCCACCGTGTCACTGTTGCAACTTCGCCAGGTGCGTCCATCACGCTCACGCTTCTGATCTGGACGACCTTCCGACGGATCCTAAAATGGATCTAGCATCTAGGCTCTGGCCGCAGTTAGCCAGGGAACCCTAAACCCTAGCCCTAAACCCTAAACCCGAAAACCCCGAGCCCTAAACCCTAAGCCCTAAACCCTGAAATCTTATACCTCAGTCCAACATTTCTGCTTCCGGTTGGCTGCCTCGCAGGCTTCTTGGAACTGCGTAAGGGGGTTTTGTGCACGTGCCGGAATGTCATTGGGCCTTTCGGGTTTATGTGGCCGTTCTGGGTTGCGTAAAGTGGTACTGCAGTTTTGCCGGAAAGAATTGGCTGCAGTATCACGATCCCCAAATGTGCATGAAGTGGCTTGAATTGCTCAAACCCAGATTCAAGGGGGGTAACTTCGAAGCCTCAGGGACGATCATAAGCAGTGGAATGTTGGGTTACGTCCTATGCTTGGACCCGGCTCCCTCGCCAACTGTGCTAAAGTCACATGAGTGAGTTTGGGGTTTATAGGGTTTATATTGTTTACAGGGCTATAGGGTTTAAAGGGATTTTTGGGTTTTTTGGGCTTTTTAGGGTTGAGGGTTTAGGATTACGGGTTCGGATTGCTATCCTTAGGGCTTCTGGTTGCCCTGAACTGCGGCGAGAGACGCGGCAGGCAGTCCGACGGAAGCAACCACTGCAATCCCACAGACCTGCCAACAAGTAGGGTTGAGAGGCTCCCGAAACCCTAAACCCTAAACCCTAAACCCTAGACCCTAAACCCTAAACAGGGCTTGAGGGTTTAGGCAACAGTGTAGGGTTCCAGGCTGAGTGTTTACGGCTTAGGGCTTGCCAAAGCCAAGTTGTCTTCCCCCTCATGACAACGCAGGTTTTTTGAGCATATATGGGCTGTTTCGGAAACCGCCAGACCCTAAACCCTATGAACCCTATAAACCCTATAAACCCTATAAACCCTATAAACCCTATAAACCCTATAAACCCTAAACCCCATATTGGAATAGCTCAGGTTTGTTTACAGCGCAGCGTAGGGGCCGTATGGGCAACAAAGCCCTTCTGGAGCTCTGAATGTCGGAAGGTTTGGGGTGTGGGATTTCCGGGGTTTAGGGTTTGGGGTTTAGGGTTCCGGGAAGACGATTATGGGAGAAGGTATTCGCCGACGATCTCTCAACCCTCTGTCCCGAAGCCCGTCTGCGCCTCCGCGCAGCCAGACGCTGCTTCGAGCCAGATGACCCAGAGCCCTAAACCCTAAACCCTAAACCCTAAACCCTAAACCCTAGACCAGCCCAAAACCCCGAGACCTCGCTCTGAAGCTTCGAGCCTCTCTTGCTCACAGAAATGGGGCCCGAGTCTCCCGAGGGTTGAGGGTATGTAGGGTTTGGGGTTTAGGGTTTAGGGTTTAGGGTTTAGGGGTTTGGGGTTTAGGGTTTGGGGTAGTTTAGGATTTTGAGTTTAGGGTCTAGGTTAGTTCAGGGTTTAGGGTTTAGGATTTCGGGTGTAGGTTTGGATGTTCGCCCTTATAAGGACTCTTAGTGCACGGGGGAACATCCCAAGGCTTAGGGTTTGAGGCTTGCAGCTGAGGGTTTGGGGTTTTAAGCGGTTGAGGTTTGGAGGTTGGACCTCGGGAGTGCCCTTACTCTGTTTGTGGTAGGGTCAGGCTCGACTTTGAAAGCTCAATTCAGCTACACAGGGTGCTCTCTTTCTCCTGGGGTAGTCTGGAACCCAGTATTGGAGCGTAAGGAGTCTTCAGCATCTTCCGGGGGTTTGCTTTCAGCTGTGGGGCATGCCTATCGGCGGGTATTTGACAAACAAATGTGTCGGAGTACACGAAATTTGCCTGCGTCTTAAGCAGTAGATAGGGCCCATCACCCTCAGTCACCCATGCGCAACCCAAAGCACAAATCCCGAGATCCCACACTGCTAGAAGGTGCTTGCGCCAACCCTGAACTCCAACTGCCAGTTATGAGCCACACCCTAAACTCCAAACTCTCCCCACAGCCCCTTGTGAACCCGAAACTCTTACACCCGAAAAGCTTCAACCCTAAGCCCTGAGCCCATTGAATAGGAATAGTGTGCTACTGTCTGATGTGTGCCAGTGGCTCGTCACTGACTTCAGAGCAAGGTTGTGGATCCACTGTTAGCAATTGGTTTGGGTTTAGGGCTTGGGGGTTTCGGGTCAACCTTATCTGCACCCAATACGCACGATTACACTACAGTAAAAAATATCCTTGGAGTTTTCGGTACCAAAAGGGTTTGGAATTTCCGTGTCTGGATACAATGCTCCAAGTCTTGAATTCCCTCCAACCCCCCTCCCCCCACCCCCTAAACCCTAAACCCTAAAACCTAAACCCCCCCCACCCCCCCACATGTTCCTTCTGCGGACATGGCTCCTTTGGGCCATTTGCGCTTGGGCAGGCTGCCTGGTAGGATTCGGTAACCCAGTGGTACCCTTTACCCTTTTTTCGGTTCTGGATTCCCTTATAAAGTAACCAACCGAAAAAATTGGTGCCCGTACTATGCCAAGGTACCGGCTAAAGTGGCCCAAACAATTACCCTTGAAAAGGTTACCAAACCCCCCTTACTTCTGCACTCTAGAAGGGTAGAGGTTCCGTTTCATAGTGAGCCCAAGTTCCTTCACTTCAGGAATAGACCTTCTCAAAGTATCAGGATTTTGGGCTAGGGTTTGGAATGCAATGGCCCTTGGGGGGGGGGGGGGTTACTTCTAAACCCCAAACTATACCCTAAACTCTAAACCCTAAACCCTAAACCCTAAATCCTAAACCCTAAACCCTAGACCCCAGACCCTAAACCCCAAACCCCAAACCCTAAACCCTAAACCCTAAACCCTAAACCCTAAACCCTAAACCCTAAACCCTAAACCCTAAACCCTAAACCCTAGCCTCGGGAAGCTGAGGCTCTGCCCAATGTGCAGCACCCAACGTCTCCCATTCTGGCGACCCCAGCTGTATCGAAGGCCGGGTTATTAGCGTTTTTGGGGTATAGGCATAGGGTTTAGGGTTTAGGGTTTAGGGTTTAGGGTTTAGGGTTTAGGGTTAGGGTTTAGGGTTTAGGGTTTAGGGTTTAGGGTTTAGGGTTTAGGGTTTAGGGTTTAGGGTTGGTTGTTGGTCTCTTTAAGTAGGGTTCCTGTTTTGTAGGGGGTAAGGTTTGGGGTTCGAGGGTTAAGGTATCAGGGTAACAGATCAAAAGAGAGCCCCGGCCTTCATAAGTTATAGGGCTGAGGGGAGCGGACCCCTGAATCTCCTTAGGATCCCAACATATTCCTCACATATACAAATATAAGCGAATATGAAATGAATAGATATATGTGTGTATATATATATAACATACATACATGTTATACATTTATGTATATCGATAGTTTGATTGGTGAGATGCTGAGGTCACATCATTGCCGAAGGAGGAAGATGCACGCCGAGCTGCAGCAACGGCACCCTCCCAGTCGCTCGCGGCTTCGACACCTTGGTCTGCCAATTTGGCCGCCTTTTCCCAGCCACTGGGTGGGAACTACAGGGTTGAGGGTTTAGGGTTTAGGGTTTAGGTTTTAGGGTTTAGGGTTTAGGGCTTCAGCACATTGCTTCGCCAATTTGGCCGCCTTTTCCCAGCGACTGGGTCCGAATATGGCATCTTCAAGTGTCCGTAGCTCTGTCCCCTGTAGACCAGGACCCAGCGTGGGCCCCTTTAGTCCCTTTTTTTGAAGGGTTTAGGTTCCCTGACAAACCCTTTAAAACCAGGAGGGGTGCCCGTTTTGAATGCTAGCTTCTTCCTGGGTAGCCCTAAACCCTAAACCCCAAACCCAAAACCCTGCTTCTGTGATTTCGGTGTTGGTCTGAAGCTCGTCTCCTGACCCAAGGCTTTGACCTAAGCGTTCATCCATCATTCCTCAACAAAACCCCAACTCTTAGACCCTTAACCTTAAACCCTAAACCCTCGACCTCCTAAACCCTCAACAATAAACCTTGCAATGTCCTAGAGATCCAGTCGCTTTGCGCCACCCTCAGACGTAGTGGTAGGCTCGTGTTGTGCCGCCCTTGGAAGTAATTGTAGGCCGGTCGTGAGCTACAAGCCCTACATGAACCCCAAACTGCAGACCAAGTCTTCCAAGTCTTTAATCCTCCCCAAACCCTAAACCCTCAACTGATGTTTGCTGCGTTGTGTATTTGAGCCAACCGTTGTGAGTTACCTTATAGGTTTTGTAGGATTGTGCAGGGTATAATCGGAGTTCAATAGGGATAAGCACCAGTATGTTTGGGTCTCAGGAGACGTTCTCCTGTCGCCCAGTGGAGTGCCGCCATCCACCCAGCCGCTGGGACTGACCCGCGGTATTTCGGGGGCGAAGAAAGCCTTAGGTCTAAACCCTAAACCCTAAACCCTAAACCCTAAAACCCTAAAACCCTAGAACCCTAAAACCCTAAAACCCTAAAACCCTAAAACCCTAAACCCCAAACTCCGCCCAAAGCCTCGAACAGCCTGAAAGGACCACGACAAGCCCAAAGGCCCCAAAGCCATCTACAGCCCTGGAGCCTGAAGACCTCCGACAAAATCTCTAAGCCTTCTATTTGTTTGGTGCGTGGGGGTTGGCGGATGCTTGGGAGTTGGTGTCTCTCCGTTGCTTTCCGGCCCGTCTCCTATTCGGACTGAGCCACAAGTTCGGGGCCGACTCACTAAACCCTAAACCCTAAACCCTAAACCCTAAACCCTAAACCTGAAGCAGAAATGAAAAGCCCGCGCGCAGAGGAGCTCGTGAAACCCAGGTACCGATAACTGCGGGCCAAAGGAGGAAGGGGTTGCACGTATACTAGATACATTAAAATTCACATACCTACACACACACATATATATATATATATATGTACAGACATCTATATATATATATATATATATATAATATGTGTGTATGTATATACGTTCATGTATTCTGAATGTCCATATGCACATACAAAACCCTGATCAAAACCCTACACCCCAAGCCGGCACCTGTAAGAGGTCTCTTCACCGCAACTCCTGCGCAGCGAACACCTTTCGAGGGCGTCCGCGGGGCCATCGTTGTCTGGAACGACACCTTCCCGAAGAACCTGGGTTGCCACAGAGAGTTGTCCAGGGCTTAAAGGGTTTTCCCTTCAATCCAAAATCCCTATATAAAGAGCTTCGGCGCTTAGAGAATGTATGTACATATATATATATATATATTATACACACACACACACACTCTCTCTATATATATATATATACTATATATGCAGAGAGAGAGAGAGAGAGAGTTAGAGAGCGAGAGGCCTTGGGGTGCGGATGCTTCAGAGCCTGTCGATTTGTGATTGTAGTTTGAGAGTTGCCGAGTTGGAGCTTCGGGAGTCGGAGATCCTCAGCAAACATGTCCGCTGTTTAGGGTTTAGGGTTAGGGTTTAGGGTTAGGGTGTAGGGTTTAGGGTGTAGGGTTCAGGGTTTAGGGTTCAGGGTTCAGGGTTTAGGGTTTAGGGTGTAGGGTTTAGGGTTCAGGGTTTAGGGTTCAGGGTAGTTGCTGTCTCTCTCTTCGCAACTTGTAAGGAATCCTGGTAGGAAGGCCTCCATCGAAGGCTTCTAGCCGGCATCTCGAGAGCCTACCCCCAAGGAATGGACCAACAAAATCCCTAAACCCTCACCGGCCCTAACCCTAAACTCTGAGACATCTACCAAGCATTATTAGGGTCCCCCCCCCCCCCCCCCGAAAAACGCTCAACCCCAAACCCTTGACCCTTATAAATCAAGGAATGGGCTCGAGTACGCAGCGGAAACCGACTGCGACTCGGCCTCGCCCCTCACCACGGACGGCAAGGGATGCCACTGGGTCCTGGTCAGAGGTTTGAGGGGCCTGGGGGGCTTGGGGGTTTAGGGTCTACTTTGGGTTTAGGGTTGATGTTGGGATTTAGAGGCTCTAGGGGTGCCAAAAGGCCCACGCTGTAGATGAACTGCCGCTCCCTCAGCCGCGAAATGCCCTTCTGTGTCTACGCGAGAGTCTGTTGAGGTTTCGATGGGCTGTTGGCTTTGGCCAGGGCTGGGGGATGCTCTGTTATGTTTCCGTAAGGGTCCGTGTATCTAAGAAACATTCAGCATACCTCTAGGGCATACCCCTTAAAAGAAATGAAGGGGTTTGGTGAAATCCTCCCTTAGACTCCCTTATGTTATCCTTTCATGTAGGTTAAGGGGTATGGGTTTGGGGTATGGTGAATGTTTCTTAGAGTGTACCGAAGCAGGGAATACTTGGTGCTTAAAGTGGGGGACTTTGGGGTATAAGAATGAACGTAGACCCTTAGGGTTTGGGTTTCCGGGTTCAAGCTTGGCCCTCAACCTTGAACCCTCCATGTGGGGTGGGGGGGCTTGCTTTGGGGTTTAGGGTTTAGGGTTTAGGGTTTAGGGTTTAGGGTTTAGGGTTTAGGGTTTAGGGTTTAGGGTTTAGGGTTTAGGGTTTAGGGTTTAGGGTTTAGGGCTTGCAAGCCGGGCCTTCTGGCCATGAGGTGGAACGTGCTTCAGCCCCCTGGTGGAGGTGCACCAGTGGGCTTTGATATACTTTAGGGCTCGAATAAGGTTTAGGGTTTCGGGTTTCGGGTTTAGGGCTACTGATGGCATTCCCTTAGGGTCCCTTTGCAATGGCCCCCCCAAACCCTATTCTGATTATTCAGGCCCCTATATTCTGTGGTTTGGTGGGTGCCAGTGGTGCCGTGGTGCCAGGGGGTTCTTTAAGGATTCGGAGCATAAACCTTAGGGTTTGGGGTTTAGGGTTTCAAATGGCCGGAGGCCTTGGGGATTTAGGGTAAGTGGCGAGGGGTCTCGCGGCAGCATGCCCCGGTATTTGACTCCGACAAACATCTGCCCCCCTGTCCTGTGTAGCCAGAGCCAGAGTGTTCCCCAGACCCCAAACCCCAAAACGACCCCAAGGCCCCAATTTAAAGCGCTTGGCAGGTGGATGCAGCTTTGGGGCAGCATTCCGTACATGGTCTGGTCCGTTTCCTGCTGGCGTTTCATGCGCAGCAAGGCCGTCGGTTGGCTCTGGTCTTTGAGGAGGAGACCGGGGAAAAGGGGAAATGGGAGTTTACGATCTTTAGGTCGTTTGGAATGTGTACCTGTCCTCTTGGGTAGACCCCGATAACCTACCTAAGCCTACACATCCACGCATGAACATGCCAGTCAACTCGTTGTGAGCCAATAAAATGCTATGAGTAGCTTCAGCCGTAGAGCTTGAACTTAACCTTCGAACCCTGGGCTTACAGCTTGAAGTTCAAAGGCCCTCGAGTCCTGCGTTGCGATTCGTGTAAGGTACCAGAAACGGGTCCCAATGGTCCCATGGTGCAATCCTCAAGCCCCCACGAGAACCCTGAAACTCGGAATTTCCCAACGGATCGCAAACTCGGCGGGCATGGACACCGTGAGACCATACTGCTGTATAACCATGGCGTGGCGTTGCGAACGAGCACCCTGAACCTTGAACCCTGAACCCTAGGGGGCTTGGGACATGCCTGCTTCCACTCGGAGGAGATCCTGCTGACCTGGGCTTTGGACATCGGCGGCACCACCCAGGCACCTGTGTCTCCGCACACGGCTTCGGCTTCCCCGAACTCCAGCCCCTGCATGCGGTTGCAAGTAGCCCCCAAACCATTCGCAGATTGTATTGTGTATTTGTTAGGACCGAATTTCCCTAAGTACCCTAAACCCTGAATCGCTTCACCATAAATACCCTATTTACCCCAAACCCTCAAACGTTTAAGCCTAGATGCCCAAGCCTAATCCTACATGTTGCTGCATATCTTGTGACGGTGGGGACTCCAGCGGCATGAAGGTCTCAGTGGCTGCTTCCCCTTCGGAGTTCGAAGCTCTGGATGACGAGGTCTGTGGTTTTGGGTTAGGGTTTTTAGGGTTTTTAGGGTTTTTAGGGTTTTTAGGGTTTTTAGGGTTTTTAGGGTGTTTAGGGTGTTTAGGGTGTTTAGGGTGTTTAGGGTGTTTAGGGTTTTTAGGGTTTTTAGGGTTTAGGGTTCAGGGTTTAGGGGGTTGAGGGTCTGTAGGGCTCAGGCTTTGGAGGGCGTGTACAGGCTTTGTAGGATTGAGAGGCCTGTGAACTCCAAAACAAGGAGGCTTTCAGCATCTTGCCATCCACCTATACAGGTGATGTTCAACATCTGAGACGTATTGCTAGGCATCTTTCGTTTCTGCAGGGCGTTTCAAGTGGCCACGGTACCTTAAACCCGAAAGCCCTAGCGACCCCAAACCAATGAAGCTAAACCAAGCACCAGTCGCTGACTGCCTGTTTTGATGCATTCTGGCAGGGCAGGTGGCGGCGTGTGAGGTTGCTGAGGAACAGACCTCAAAACGCTGAAGCTTCATCTCAAGGTTGAACTCCGAACTGTGACAAACCTAAAGCCCCAAATCCTGAACCTTAAGCCCTAAGATGCTGTAAGACCCTGAAGCCCTAAGCCTTGAAGCCCTACAACCCCAAAACCCCCGCAGCCATCAAAACCTGAACCCACAAGCCCCCAAACACTAAGCCTAAACCCTAAACCCTCAACCCTCAACCCTAAACCCTAAACCCTAAACCCTAAACCCTAAACCCTTGCCAGGTCACCGGATCTGACGAGTCGCTTCCTCAAGGCGTTGGCAGTCACGGATATGGGCATTCCCATAGTTCCTGTGTTGTAGGACTGTAAAGCCGAACCCCTACAGCATTCCCATAATTCCTGGATTTTCGGACCCTAACACCGAAGCCCTAAAGCCTAAACCCACATTGGGTCAATTCTCCAGGTTGTTGTCCCTTCGAGGACTGTGGGCGTCCTTTTGCCAATACAGTCCAGTGTTCACGAACGAACCCTATAAACCTTTCTTGGATTAGTATGAACCTTCTCAGCTCCCTAAGGCTACGACCATTCCCCTAAACCCTAAATACCCTAAACCCTCAACCCTAAACCTTATAAACCCTAAACCCTAAACCCGTGAGAGCAGTACTGCGAAGGAACCCGGCTGGTCGCGCCTTTCGTCAACGACCTCAACCAGCTTCCTGAAAGCCCTTACGCTTTGGCTCAGACCGGTTATACTTTCGGATGTTCCCCCTTGGTAGTGTTTCGGGTTTAGGGTTCAGGGTTTAGGGCAGCGATTATCGTACCCCCCCCCCCCCCCCCAATTATAATCCCTCTTAAGGACTGGTTTTTTTACAGGGGGGAGGGGGGGCAACATCCCAAGTTACACGCCCCCCAAGCATCGAAGGCGTTTGTTCCTGGAGACCACACGGGTGCGGGCGTGAAGCTAATCCCTTGAGGCTCCATGTGCCTATATTGTATATACTTAGGCGTTAAAGCGTTAAAGGGGTTCCTATGCAGTAGCTTTAGGGCCCAAGTCTATACTATAATTGGGGGGGGGGGGGTACGATAATCCCTACCCTAAACCCTAAACCCTAAACCCTAAACCCTAAACCCTAAACACTGGTAGTATAAGGGGAGCCTTCATGATCGTGTCTAGACACCCGTCAGCCACTCTGCACCCCGGGATCCGAGGCCTCCTTATCCTGAGAGGCTTGTGCACCCCACCTCGGGGGTCGAGTTGCTATTAGGGTTTAGGGTTTAGGGGGTTAGGGTTTAGGGTTTAGGGGGTTAGGGTTTAGGGTTAGGGTTTAGGGTTTAGGGTTGAGGGTTTAGGGTTTAGGGTTTAGGGTTTAGGGTTTGATACTGTAATATGGAACTAAGGTGCCCCCTCCACCCTGCCTCCCTCCTCCCTCCCCCCCCCCCCCCCCCCCCTTCCTCTTCCAAAGAAAAATCAGGGGGTAGGGGGTAGCCTTTGCGTCAGCCCTTCAGACCCTGCACCCGACACCCTCAGCTGTTCCCTTTCTTAGATACCTTCTTTGTCACAGGCACTTAGTATAGGGGCCTTAAGAATTTGGATAGGGCTTGGGGGGGGCTCTTATAGCATCATCACTTCGGGACCACAAGGGAACGCCAGTAAACAATTAGTAATTCTTCCGACCCCTATTTGGATCTTTGGGTGCCTACGACCACCTCAAAGCCTCTGCCAACTAAGGCTGGATTCGGGTCCCGTCCCACAGCTGCATCAAGGTTTGGTTGAGGGTCTTGGGGTTTGGGGTTTAGGGTTTGGGGTTTAGGGTTTCGGGTTTGGGGTTTGGGGTTATGGGGCTTGGGGCTGGGGGTGCTCCCGGGTTTAGTGGTTTAGGGGTTTACGGGTTGAAAGGGGGTGAGGGTTTGAAGGGTTCAGGGTGTAGGGTCAGTTGGTGCAGCTGATTCATTGGCTCGAGCCCTACCAGTGACTTAGTTCAGCACTGAGATGGAGACCAGAGGCGAAATGTATTATGCCGGTGAGGCCGAGGCAGATAGTCCCTTCGAGCCAACGACGCTGGGGAAGCCGCTGGCAGAGCAGAGCGCCGTGTCGGACCAGGTTTCGGAAGAAGACGTCGCTCTTGAGCTAGGGGGACCATCTTTGGAAGATGGAGATCGCCAGGCACTCGTAGATACCCTCACCCGTCTGCAGCCGGTACTGCCGGATGTGGTGCGTGGGACCCCTGCATATGTGCCGCTCCGAAGGGGTGGGCGCATTCTGCGAGGCGTCGGCGTCAAGAATAAGGACAAGTTGTATAGCCTCAGCTACCCCACCACGAGGATTAAGCAGTTCTGGAGCCACAGCTGGCACGGGGCGACGTTCTCAAAGGTGCTGATGCTTCTCGTCATGAACAATGGCCTTCCCAGCATTTGCATGGGCACTTTGGGGGGAGTCTCCTTCTTCTTCCTCTGGTGGTCCGTTGGCACATCACAGCAGCCAATGTATGCTTATCATGCTTGGGACCTGATGATCTGCACCACTCTCTTCTCCGTGTGCTGCTGCGCTGCGACCTTGTTCTTCTGGCGCCCACGCCACGCGGTCTTCGTGGACCTGATTTGCATCCATCAAGCAGACGAAAGCAAGAAAGTTGCGGGGTTGATCAGCATGCCTGCCATTCTCAAGTCTTGCAGCTCCATTGTCGTTTGTTGGGATTCAAGCTACATGCGAAGGGCCTGGTGTGTCTGGGTTCGCATAGGAATTTGTGATGTTGAGAAGTCTATGAAGGTGCCTTAGCCGAAGCTCCGAACCCTCCCCACAAGCTCCGAGCTGAGGCGTTTTCGAGATGGCGGCCTTCATGAAAGCGCATGGAGAGGATGCGAAGCTTCTGATACGACCGACGTTCTTTGGACCTTGCAGCGTTGCCACCGTTGCAGGACTGGCAGGTGTTCTGGTGGTGAACATCGCTACCTTCTACTTGACCGAAGGAGCCAGTCCTGATCAAAATGTCGCAGCCACAAACCTCAGACTGGCCCTCATACTGCTGGCAGTAACCAGCTTCATGTTTGCTGCAGTGTCTTCTTTTCGCAGGTACTACGTTTCAGTTCAGGAGATGCAGATGCAATTGAAGGATTTCGCCATTGAGGAGACCTTGGCCCATTGCTGCACTATGAAGCACCAGGACGAAGAAGGAAATCCGATTACGATTTGCGACAAGCAAATCATCATCGATTGTATTGTCCATTGGTTCGGATCGACGGACGCCTTCAATCAGAGGGTGAGGGAGAGAATGCAGGTTGCCCTGCTGCCACAGTTGTTGGGCTATCTCTCTTTCTCGTACTCTTGGATGGTCGCTTGCTGCACTCCTTATGTGTGGGGTTCCATGGTCCCGATCTTGCTCACCGCGCTCGCTGAAGACTGGACTTACAGTGCTGACGCAGCATTGCGCGCCATCGCTTGGTGGCTAGGAGGCTTTCCCATTATGGGCATGAGCGTAGTTGCAGTCTCGAAAGTGCTAAGTCGGCCGTGCTCACGCTCCATCAGCTTCCTGGTCAACTTGATGGCTTCGTCGGTTGTCATGCCCGTCTACATCGGCATTGAGTGGTGGATGGTTATGTGGGAGCGCATGTATCCGCTCCCGACAGGGCAAGCTGTGTACGTCGGCTCTTTAGTGTTCGTCGCACTGCTGCTCAACTTCGTGACGTCACGCTGCCAGACTTCGTTTTTATTAAAGAATAGACGACCGGCAGAATCCCCTCACTAGTTCGAGGTATCACACAAATTTACCGCTCAGTTTCAGGGAATCCTCTGCGATGATGACTGCTGAGTTCTGATATCTCCCAACATCTCGCAACTTCCTTGCAGGCACATCAAAACTGATTGTGCGGAGGAGCCAGGAGGTTCATGGGACGGTTGTCCTGCAGGCTTCGCTGTTTAGGGTTCAGGGTTCAGGGTTCAGGGTTTAGCGTTTAGGGTTTAGGGTTCAGGGAAGCCAAAGCAACCTCTTTTGTCCTCGGCGCCGAAATTGACTTGCCAGACGTGTGGCGTGTTGACTGCGGTTATCTGCGGTGCATCCGTTTTAAGCGTTGCCAGACCTTTGGCATGCTGACTGCGGTGATCTGCGGTGCATCCGTTTTAAGCGTGGCAAAAGCACTGTGCAAGTCCAAATGTCTAACCCTGAACCCTAAACCTTTGAGCCCCTCCGGGGCAACTTCGAGTATCGCGTCTTGCGAATCCTTACCCTGGAACCCTTGCCGCCCAAACCTCCAGGACCCGCCTGCTTCTGGCTGTCCTGTGTGTCTTCTGCACCCCCGGTTACCTTAAGTCCCGAAACCCTTTCCTCCCTTAGCCCTTAGAGCCCTACTAGGATGAGCGATGATGCCCTATAACCCCTTAGAAAGGCCCTTTCTAGGGTTGATGATAGGGATGACAAGGCCGAATGACCCATCCTCATAAGCCCTGCTAAGATTCGAGTGTGAATGGGTGCGGGGGTTCTGGGTTTCCGCCAATTGAATCGAACCCCCTGAACCTTTCACCCCAACAACCCCCCCCAGGGCATGTTGGTTACAAGGTGCAGTGTTTTGTGTTTAGGAGCTGAGGATCTCTAAAACCGAAACCCGACAGAGGATGTGAGCAGCACTTACGGTGGTGGGAGCGGCATGGAGGACGTCTTCTCCATCGCAGCGATGCGTCTTGGCTTGTGGTTTAGTTTGTGGTTTTTGGGTTCAGGGTAACCCAACTTTGGATTCCTGGAAGTCTAGAGCGACGGAACAACAGAACATGGCAAAACATGGCAAGCTCCCAGGTGATGTGCACTCCGGAAAGGCCCGACAAACCTTCATGACACCCTCAACACCCCAAAAGCGGTATTAGTGTTTGTGGCCTAGGAGCCGATCCCCGAATTGTTGGGTTTAGGGATTAGGGCTTTTGGGCTTCGGGTTGGGATGTTCCCCCTTATACTAGCAGTAGTCCTGAATAGGGAGTATAGTATCGATTGTTTTCATCCCTCTTAAGGACTGCTAGTATAAGAGGGAACATCCTGAGTGTAGCCCTAAACCCTAAACCCTAAATCCTAGACTCTAAACCCTAAACCCTATTAGGGTCAGCTTTGAATGATTTCTCCAAGCCACGAGGACCGCGCGACGCCCTCCGGGAGGAGTGCGCATCGAAAGACTGCACCTGGCGGCCTGGCCCATGTCAACCCATCCTAAAGTTGTAATTCGGGCTCTTCAGGGAGGGGTGTTCGTGGGGTTTTACGGGAGCCCTGGGGAGTATGGGGGAGTATTAGGGGACACCCTGCTTACTAACTGAAACGGGCTTCCAAGTAGAGCCTCTTAAAGGATCAGGGGACTTAGTAAGTGGGGTGATAATTTGCGGTAACTATGCTGATAAACTCTTGATAACCTCAATTACGGCACTGATATCCCTACTTACTATAAGTACGCCCGAACTTCCAAGTAGCCCTAAACCCTAAACCCCAAACCTTAAACCCTAAACCCTAAACCCTGAACCCTAAACCCTAAACCCTAAACCCTAAACCCTAAACCCTAAACCCTCACCCCTGCGTAGGCTTTCCGATACGTCCTGCGGGGCTGCGACCCCGGACGAGAGGGCCTCGGAGCGGTGACTCGGATGTTCAGTGGTCTCCTTGTTAATGATGTTTAGGGTTAGGGTTTAGGGTTTAGGGTTTAGGGTTTAGGGTTTAGGGTTTAGGGTTTAGGGTTTAGGGTTTAGGGTTTAGGGTTTAGGGTTTAGGGTTAAGGTTAAGGGTTAAGGGTTAAAGGTTAGGGTTTATAGGGTTTAGGGTTAGGGTTTGCGGTGGTTTGGGTAGTTACTGTTCTCCCGCTTAGGGTTTGCGGGTTGGGTAGTTTTAGGGTTCGGGTTTCATCGTTGAAGCTTTATGTAACAAAGAGCCCCTGAGCCCAAAATCCTAAACCCCAAATGCGTTTTTCCCTAGGTTACTTGGGAGCCTAGGTGAAGATGTCGGTGGCGCTGCAGCGACTGGCCCTGTTTTTGCAAGTGTTGGTGCCTGCTTGGGGTGTTTGCTAGAGGCTTTTTTTTTGGGGGGAGGGGGGGGGGGGGTCGGGCAACCAAAGTACCCTAAACCCTAAACCCTAGCAAAAGTAATGAGTTCTTGTCAATAGGTGCTTGGCCTTAAATTGGAAGGTTCGTGGGTTCTCATGGGAAGTTTATTCGCAGGGTTTTGGGATGTTGCCCCCCCTGATACGAACAGTCCTTAATAGGGATTAGAGTACCTGACCTATTGTAATCCCGATTAAGGACTGTGAGTATAAATGGGAGCATCCCAACCCTAAACCCTAACCCTTAAACCCTAAACCCTAAACCCTAACCCTAAACCCTAAACCCCAGGTAGGGTGTCACAATACTGCCTTAATGCCAGGAGCATGGCCTACAACGTCTCGAACTGCTCTGCAGTGGGGCCAGCATCCGCATGCCACGTCAGCTGTGCCGAAGGGACACTCCGACGGCATCCTAGGGTTTGGAGTGCTACACTAAAGAAGATCGTCTTTTGTTTTCTGATTCCTGACGGCGGCCCCTCCTCCATAGGGTCTCCCCAAATGGAAGCCCATATACCGGGTCCTCGCAGCTCGACGTACAAAGCAGGCCCAGGCTTGGCGTTCGAGATTCAGAACCTATCCCTTTGTGTTCAGCGAGCTTGTTTTAGGGTTTGGGGTTTTGGGTTAAGGGTTGAGGGTTTAGATTTCAGGGTATCCCAAACCTAAAAGAGCAGGTACCTTGAAGGGTAGAACTTAGAGCTGCGATGCCGACAGCCGTGAAGAAGCAAGGTCTCAAGGCGAGGCCGTGGCAGAGTGCCCGGAACCAGACGGCTACTTCGCCATAAGTGGCTGTCAGGCGCGTTTCGTTTTTTTGCTTGTTCCACGTGCCTAAATAGCAAAACTACCCTAAACCCTAAACCCTATAAACCCTATAAACCCTATAAACCCTACAAACCCTATAAACCCTATAAGCCCTATAAACCCTATAAACCCCATACACCCCATAAACCCTATAAACCCTATAAACCCCATAAACCCTATAAACCCTATAAACCCCATAAACCCTATAAACCCTATGAACCCCATAAACCCTGTAAACCCTATAAACCCTGTGAACCCTAAATGGGCCGATCGACCGGGAGTAGACGGGTTAGGGTGTACGGAGGCCTCCTACCGTCGAACCCGCTCATCTCCTGCGACTTCCGTAACACCTCCCGAGCCTTCCCATTAGGGTTTAGGGTTTAGGGTTTGGGGTTTGGGGTTTAGGGTTGGAGAACACAACGGCCTCAACTTCAAGCCTCAACCTTTGAGCCTAACACAAGGAAATCCCTAAACCCTAAACACTACCTGCCCACACCCTAAACCCTAAACCCTAAACAAGCTCCAAGCTAGCCACCTCCAGTCTGTACCCTCGACTCCTTGCACCTTGAGACTACAACCCCTCCAAGCCCCAAACCCCAGACCCCAAACCCCAAACCCCAAACCCTAAACCCTAAACCCTGAACCCAAAGCCCAAACCTTCAACCTTGCAAGCAAAAACCCAAACCCGAAGCCTGAAAGCCTTGGAAGCCTTTATACTTCACGCCCTGCAAGCCCCAAGGCCCCAAGCTCTAAACCCCCAAACCCCTACACCCTAAACCTTAAACCCGAAACCTTAAACCCTAAAACCCTAAACCCTAAACCCTAAACCCTAAACCCTAAACCCTAAGCCCTAAGCCCTAAGCCCTAAACCCTAAACCCTAAACCCGATCCCAAGCTCCCTCTTGGGAGGCTCACTGCCTTGCCCTTCCGCGCTACAACCAGGCCACCGACCCTGATGGCATCACTGGAGCTGCAGAGGCTCTTCGAGTTCCCGTAAAGGGTCTGGGGGTTTGTGGGGTTTAGGGTTTAGGGTTTGGGGTTTAGGGTTTAGGGTTTAGGATTTGAGGTTTGGGGTTTGGGTCTTAAGCTTACTTATCGGGCATGTAGGAGTAGGATCTTACGGTGTTTTGCAGGGGCTTCGAGGGTTTACGGGTCATACAGGGCTTTGTCGGGTCGCAAGGGGTCGTTCAGGGTCCCTAGGGTTGTTCTTGATCCATGGGCGACACGAATTTCTCATGTGGTCGGTCAACATGACATTCGTGGGTCAACTTGGCATCTTCCCAAAAATTAACTAGGACCCAGAGTAGGCCCTTGTGCCCTTTTTGTTAGGGCTTAGGTTCCCTTACATGCCCCTTTACGACAACAAAATGCACCCTTTTCATTGCTAGGTTACTCTCGGATCTAGTTAATACACTGTCAGTGGAAGGCGTTGGGTGTTGGGTTCAGTGCCTCATCTCGGCAGAACGCAACAGATCTCTTGCAATAGCAGAAATTGCACAATTACCAACACCGTCTCCTAGCCAGTGTGTAAATTAAAGTAAAAGCTCGAACAAGCAGGCCCCCGTCTTTCCTTCCACGACTCTCTTGTTGTGGGCAGAAACGGCCCCAAGCCTGGAATTCTGAGCGCTCTGGAGCCGTGAGGCCTTAAGCTAAAGCCGCGAAACCGAGACCCTAGACCCTAAACCCTAAACCCTCTACCCTATACCCTATACCCTAAACCCTAAACCCTAAACCCTAAACCCTAACCCAAAGGTGAGCTGCGCAGAGGGCCTCGTTATCCCCCACGGCGACTCATGCTCGCCGAGCTGCCGGGAGGCCTGTTTTTGTTCAGGGTTTTTTTAGGGTTTAGGGTTTCAGGTTTGGGGTTCAGGGTTTAGGGTTTTGGGGTTTTAAGGGTTTAGGGTTTCAGGTTTGGGGTTTGGGGTTTAGGGTTTCGGGGTTTAGGGTGTTTAGGTTTTTAGGGTTCATAGGTTTGTAGGGTTTAAGGCCTCGCGTTTAGGTTTCTAGGGTTCAGGTTCAGGGTTTTCTCAACTGTGGTCCCTTTTGGGCGTCGTACCCGAACTTTAAGGCTCTGTATTTTCGGAACCCCAAGTCTGCGACCATAGTTGTGAAACGCCCATGGGTGTTGTTTGAGGTGTTGAGCTTGGTAGCTTTACCCTTTTTCTGGGTTCATGGTTTCCTTAGAAAGCAACCAACCCCCAAGAAAGGTGCCCTTGTCATAACATGGTTACTGGGCTACCAAGTTAATTAGGGCTTAACTGGGGTAACCCGTCTGAGAAACGATGGAAACACAGCCAAGCATTAAGGCAACTTAGCTTCTCCTGCATGCAGTGCTCGCATTGCTACTGTTTGCTTAAGAACCCCAAAAACCTCTAAAATACCAATCCGCCATATTGCCCTTGGAAGAATGTTTCTTGCTTTTTTTTTGGGGGGGGTTCTGAAGAGCAATGAGTAGATTACGACTCGCCCTAAACCCTAAACCCTAAACCCTAAACCCTAAACCCTAAACCCTAAACCAGAGGGCATGATTTCGGACTTCGCCACCATCCTGTGCAACGACTCCGTCTTTGAGCCTGACCCTGGGGTCTGCAAGTGGCCCACAGGGTTTCGGTCTGAAGTCTGAAGCTGTGTTTGTGCGCTATGTGCTCCTAAACCCTAAGCCCTAAACCCTAAACCCTGAAGCCTAGTTCGGGCACATGGTCCACGGCTTGTGAGAGCCTGCCTGCCAGTGTCAGGTGCCAGCCGCTGCATTCAATCAAGGGATTAAGACTCGTACACCCAAAGGTTGTATCCCTAAAGGTTCCCCTTAACATAATCTTTCACAATATAATATAGCCCTTAATATAATTACTCCTAATATAATATTATACTACCTGAGGGATCTTGAAAAAAGGTCCCCAAAACCCGAAGAGTACAAGCCTATAGGGGTCCAAGCTACAGCGTCCCCAAAAAACGCACGCCTCTGAAGGGAGAGCTCCTGCAGGGAGTAGACTACACGACCTAGGGTGCCAAGCAACAAACAAGGGGGATTTAGGGTTTTGGGTTTAGGGGCTAGGGTTTAGGGTCTAGGGTTTAGGTACTTTGCCCTCAACCTTGTAAACTCTACACTTCACCCTAAGCCCTAAGCCCTATCCCTACAACAAGACCCAAAACATACCGCATGTGATGCTGCATTTGTTGGCTGCAGACAGAAAACCATCGACCTGTCGAGATCTAGCTCTTGCTAGCCTTGGGGCTGCGGCCTGCATCATCTCTATGTACCCTCCCTATACAAACCCTAAGTCCTAAACCCTAAATCGTTAGGCTGCTGAAAAGCCTGAAATAACCTAGTAGTTGTGTAGGGTAACCTTTAACCTTTTTGGGGTAGCATAATCCCCCTTAGGATCCCAAAGGTTAGCCTTAATTCCCCCCCCCCCCCCCAAGGTTACTGGACAACTAGGATAAGCTGAAGCCTTGAAGCGCGAACCCAGGAGCGGTTCTCCTGCCATCCAATCTGCGCAGCGCCGGACGGAGGGTTGCTTGCAACTTCCGCCGCAACATGGGGGGTGGGCCAGGCACCACATGACATCATGTCTGAGGCAGGGTTTATATAAATGTTTTTGGTGCGTGTAGACAAGGCTCCTTTTGAATATTGGCGAGTGTATATACCGGGCGTCCTTTTGGGGGTACAAGAAATGTAAGCCTTACTTGGCATGAGCGAAAAGGAAAAGCCCTTGGCCTCTTGGCAGCCCAATTGTACCCTTTTGCCCTTGTTCTGGTTCCAGGTTCCCTTGTAAAGTAGTGGTCACCAACCCGAAAAAGGGCATCCCGTATTGTAATATCGCTACCGTGCTACTAAGACCTCAAGTGCCGGACACTCTGAACACAAAGACCCTGACTCTTCGAAGCCCTTGGCCTCTCCAGATTCGGGCTTGAAAAGGTTTACTGGGTACCAGCGCAGAAAAAAGTTTTAATGTCGTCATGGCATGATTATGGAAGACTATTTACAGACAAGCTCTGGGAGGCATCTGATGAGTTACCTCTGACTCAATGGTTCGGAATCGGAGGATCACCCCATGGTTGAGGTCGATTTGCCTGCCATACCACTTACAAGCAATCCAGTCTGCATGCAGGAGCCTAAACATTAACCAACATTGTCCCCTGATACACCTTCTATTGAAGTAGAAACAATGCCCCGATTACCGATTCTATTTGAACGGACCCTGCGGGCTGTTGGCTTCGCAGCTTGCCTGTCTTCCGGACACGTGGCCCCGGATTCCTCAGACTTCTGAAGATGGAAACAACGTGGCTCCGGCTACGACGGCCAGCTTGGCAAGGCGCGCTTTCCATGCGAATTCCGTGGTGGCAGCTACTGGTTGGTTCTTAGTAGGGAATGAGGGAATGGGGCCCTATAGAATCCCTTAAAGGGTATATATAGGGCCCTCATTCCCACATTCCCTACTAAGAACCAGGGGGGCTATCTCTTTTGCAGATCGGTCATGAGCAAGTGGCTCAGCTGCGCCGGGACCTGGCCAAGCTCACAGCGCAAGAAAGCTTACGACGCACTGAGGAGGAGATGCCAACATCAAGAGGAAGGGCCATCCTCATCTTAGTAGCCCAGTGGTACCCTTTACCCTTTTTTTGGTTATGGGTTCCCTTATAAAATAACCTGTATCGTAATATGTTTACTGGGCTACTAAGTCATGACATTCTGCCCCAGAGGCCGAGGTTGCGTTTTTTCTTGTGGTCTTCAGACCAACAGCAGACTCTGCCCTTGAAAGCCCTCCCTGAACCCTTCATCCCATAAACCCTTAAGACCTGAACCCTAAACCCGAAACCCTAAAAGCTAAAACCCGAAACCCCGAACCCAAAACCCTACACCCTAGACCCTACACCCTAAACCCCTCAGTCTCAAACCCACCGCTCAGTCTCCGAGGCAGCTAGCCCTGCCTGCGAGGCGCGGCTGGGGTTCGAAGGGTCCTGGTTGGGGTTTAGGGTTTAGGGTTCAGGGTCTAGGGTTTAGGGTTGGGGTCTTTGGGGGCTTGTAGGGTTTACAGGGTTTTTGGGGTTTATAGTGCTTTTAGGGCTTAGAGGATAGAAGAGAGTGTATAGGATTTATGTCGGGTTTGTAGGGTTTACAGGGTTGACAGGATCTACTGGGCTTACGGGGTTCGGGGCTTCGTGGTCATGGTTCAGGGCGCAGGGCTTTCAGTTCAGGGTGAGTGGTTGGAATTTAGGGTTAGGAGTTTAGCGCGACACGCGGTTGCGGCTATGGATTGAAGAGTTCTCGGTCATGGTTTAGTGTCTTGAGCTTCGGGGTTATGCGTGGCTGTATGAAGCTACCCTCCCCATATACGAGGCAGCTGGATCCTGTTTAATTAAGAATCCTAAATACCCCTAAACCCGAAGCCCCCTAACAACCCTAAACCCTAAACCCTAAGTGCCCCTAAACCCTACGCCCCTAATAAACCCTATACCCCTAAACCCTAAACCCTTAACCCTAATAGCCCTAAACCCTAAACCCTACCACCCTAGTATCTCTAAACCCCAAACCCTAAACCCTAAACCCCAAACCCTAAACCCTGCACCCCTAAACCCGTCACCCTAAACCCTAAACCCCCCTAGAAAGCCCAACTCGAAGAAGACAGGAGCTCCTCACCTCCCCGGGACTCCGCCCCGGCCCCTGCACAGCTCAGTGCCAGTTGGGCGCCTTGGAGGCATCTGGAGGTTAGGGTTTAGGGTTTAGGGTTTAGGGAGTTTAGGGAGCTTAGGGAGCTTAGGGAGTTCTGGAGTCTGGGGGGTTTGGGGAGTCTTGGGAGTTTAGGGAGGTTTTTGGCAGTTTAGGGAGTTGAGCGAGTTCAGGGGGTTAAGGGAGTTCAGGGGGTGGAGGGTTTAGGGTTTAGGGTTTAGGGTTTAGGGAGTTAAGGGGGCTGGAGGGTCGAGGGTGGATCGCAGGGTCTTTGCAGGTGGTTGTGGGTCGTCTGGGAGCTCTTGCCCTGATGTGTCCTCTCACCTGTTTTCGTCTCCCTAGCGGTTCTTAAATTTCGGAGACATGCGGTACCTAAAGCAACTAGTAAGTCGCGCATTATCCCTCTTTCGCTCTGTCTCGCTTCGTTTATCTTGTTGTTCAATTTCTCCTTATCTTTCTCGTTCTCTTTCTCTTTCTGACTCTCTCTTCTTTCCGCTGCCTGCTGATCCTGGTGCCTCTACTTGTCTGCAAGATATCTAAACCCTAAACCCTAACCCTAAACCCTAAACCCTAAACCCTAAACCCTAAACCCTAACCCTAAACCCTAAACCCTAAACCCTAAACCCTAAACCCTAAACCCTAAACCCTAAACCCTAAACCCTAAACCCTAAACCCTAAACCCTAACCCTATGAAGCATGAGCGGCTCGCCAAGGCTACCGGCCTCGTTGGATTACACCTCCGGAGGGGGCCATGGCACCATGTCGGCAATGTGAAGCTCGTTTAGGGTGTAGGGTGTAGGGTGTAGGGTTCAAGGAAATTGGGCGCCATGCGCCCATCGCTCTCTCAGAGAAGAGCTTCTGAGTTGCCGGCCCTCCGACATTCAGTGCCATGCTTTCCGGTCCAGTGCTCATGCGCACGTAAGGCTGACGTACATAAACCATATAGGTCCGCGTACCCATGTAGAATATATTTGGGCCCGAAAGCTACTGAGAAGGAACCCCTGTAAGGCCCAGGTATATACTATGCTACATTGGACAGTTCGGGAGAAACCCTAAACCCTAACTACCCAATCAGGTATCCCCGCCATTCCTGCAGCTAAACTGCAGCGGCGGGAAGCTGAGTCCGACCACCAGCTTTGACTGCCAGCCCCTTTGGCTGCCCATCGCGGACTTTGTGGCTGGAGGCAGGGCCACAGTCTTCTCGGTCGGCCCTTGGGACCCTAAACCCCTAAACCCTAAACCCTAAACCCTAACCCTAAACCCTAAACCCTAAACCTATGTTCCCTTTTTTGGTTTAAGGGGGTCACAATTTAGGAATAAAATTCCGAGGGTTTTAAGGGCCATCCTCGTCGTCTTGGGTTTAGGTTTAGGGCTTCAGGGTTTATGCATGTTTTTTTTCAGTATCTTAGGGCTTAGGGATGTTTAGGATGCTTGAAGGTTTAGGGTTTAGGTTGCATGTGTAGTACGTTTAGTGATCAAGGCACATACATCCATCATCCCCCATTCTGATGACTTCGGACCTATAGCAGGACGAAGCACCCAGCAGCTAGCACCGGCTTCAAGACGTCGAGGCTTGATGCCCTAAACCCTATACCCTATATACCCTATATACCCTATATACCCTATATACCCTATATACCCTATATACCCTATATACCCTATATACCCTATATACCCTATATACCCTATATACCCTATATACCCTATACACCCTATATACCCTATACCTATACACCCTATATACCCTATACCCTATAAACCCCAAACCGCAGAAAGCACGGACAACGGCAGCACCATGTGCGCACGGCATGTCGAGGTGCAGCTCGCAGTCGGCCGCTAAGCCGCCAAGCTCTATGACTCTATAAAACTCTAAGAGTATGGCAAGTTTCCTGCACTGCTTACTAGGATGCCCAGTAGTACCCTTATTCCCTTTTTGGTAGGTTTAGGTTCCCTTATCAACCCCTTTAAGCAAAAAAGGGCACGCCTTTTCATCCTAGGTTACTGGGCAACCTAGAAGAGTATGGCAAGTTTCCTGCACTGCTAGTCTGTAAGTCTTAAGTCGAACGCACAGCCAACATCTGCGCGGAGTCCGGGCTTGAGATGCGCAAGCTGCTCGGGCATGGAGAGCAAGAAGCCAGCCGAAAAGCAGGTCACCACGATCACGCAGAGGTTTAGGGTTTAGGGTTTAGGGTCTAGGGTTTAGGGTTTAGGGTTTAGGGGTTTTGCGGCCCTTAGAGCGCTGGCATGCCTGAGGGCTGCACACAGACCTTCGACGTGAAGCGTGCCTACGGCTCAGATGCCCGAGCTGCCAGCTCGGACGATGTGGGTCCCGAAACCCTAAACCCTAAACCCTAAGCCCTGCAGCAAGTTTTCGACTCGGCTGTTTGCAGGACCACACACCCTGAGCTCCTTCAATGCGGAGCTGGGTCATCACCTCCTCCTCAGCAGCGCCGATCAGGAGCCGGGTTAAGGGGGAGCTAAATGAAACATCTTGATTTTCGGGAACCCTAAACCTAAACCCTAAAACCCTAAGACCCTAAGGCCCTAAAACCCTAAAACCCTAAATCCCTAAACCTGTCGGGCACACCAGCATCCTCATCGGCCTCAACCCCTATCCCCCAGCTCTAAGCACATCATCTTGAAACCCCCAGCCCTAAACCCTAAACCCCAAGGAGTGAACCTCAAACCCTAAACCCTCTCCCCGTTAAAGCTTCGGCCCTTCTGCGACTCCCTAAGCCCAAAACCTCAAACCCTGAACCCTAAACCGCCGCCCCCCCCCCCCCCCCCCCCCCCCCCCCCCTTCTAATCAGGAAAGCCGGACAGTGAGCAGCTTGGAGCTCCATCGCTTGGAGCGCCATGGACACATGACTCAAATGACTCTTTATACGTCTCAGAGTTTTTGGATACCCTGTACACTAAACCCTAAATCCTAAACCCTAAACCCTAAACCGATGTTGGGAATCACTGGAAAGTTCACTGGCAGGCCAAGGGAGCGGTTTCGGGGGTGCAGGTGTAGGGTTTGGGGCTTAGGGGTTGAGGGGTTTGGGCCTTACGGTTTAGGGTCGTTTAGGGTTGAAAGGTTATTTTGGGTGCAGGGTTTAGGGGTTAGGGTTTAGGGTTTAGGGTTTAGGGTGTAGGGTTTAGGGTTTATAGGGTACCTAAGAACTCAGCGCGCCAAGGACAGGAGATGGAGCTGATCCAGCTGACACAGGTCCAGGCGCTTGATGCCCTGGCATTGGAGGCTTCCGAACTCCCCCATTTCAACCTCCTCTCCCCCTTTCTCTAGGTAGGTTTATGGTTTGGGGTTGAGGGTTTAGGGTTTAGGGTTTATAGGGCTTAGGGTTTAGAGAAACCCAGCAAGTACCACATACAGCGCCCTTTTTTGGTGCCCCTCCACTCTCACCCTCAATATCCACCCTAAACCAGAAACCCTAAACCCTAAACCCTCCAAGCCACGGAGGCCTTGCCGGTCTACTTGGGCGACGGCCTCTATGTGGTCACATCTTCCCTCAGGGGTACCTCCCTGTGCTCACCGGCCCGGACCTCATAAGTGGGTCGCCTCGAACCCTGTACGTCCGGGATCGGACGAAACCCCTAAACCCTAAGCCCTACACCCCAAGCCCTAAACCCTAAACCCTACACTCTACACCCTAAGCCCCTAAGCTCCTAAACCCTAAACCCTAAACCCTAAGGTTCTTGCCCTGGTCCCCAACGCCACGCAGAGCTTCGAGGCCAGCGAGGTGCCGAGCCTCCCGAGGGTTTAGGCTTTAGGGTTGAGGGTTAAGGGTTAAGGGTTTAGGGTTTAGGGTCTAGAGGTTTTCAGGGTTTTACAGGCCTTAAAGGATGCAAGGGTTTAGGGTTTAGGATTTAGGGTGTATATTTCATACAGGCTTGATTCTGAGTTGGGCCCAGACGTCTTTTTTTTGTTGGGGGGGGGGGGGGGGGGTCGGCTTTTGCTTGGGGTTTGAAGGGCTGATGATTGGGGTTTAGGGTGGGTTTAGGGTTGAGGGTTCATGGTCTAGGAATTTGGGTTTTAGGGTTCGGGGTTCCTATGTAGGCTTGGCGGGCTTCAGAAGGTTTGTTGAACACGTAGTGGATTGTAGCATTTACGGGGCTGCTTGGGTTTCGAAAGGGTTCGTTGGTAGTAGGAGTTATGGAGCCCTTCAGACAGTTTGCAGGTGGTATGAGGGTTTGGGGGTCCCTCAACCCTAAACCCTTGTAAACCCTAAGCCCGAAACCCTAAACCAGGAACCCTGAACCCTGAACCCTAAACCCTAAACCCTAAACCCTAAACCCTAAACCCTAAACCCTAAACCCTAAACCCTAAACCCTAAACCCTAAACCCTAAACCCTAAACCCTAAACCCTAAACCCTAAACCCTAAACCAAACCTCAGGGGCTTCAAAGCGTTCGGGCGCGAGGTGCAGCAGCTTCCCTTCGCGGAGCTCCCGGGGCCCCTGCGACTTGGCTCTTGCCTTTTGTGTTGGTCTTCTCTTTGGGTGCTTGCAGGGTTTAGGGTTTAGGGTTTAGGGTTTTGGGTTTAGGGGTTTTAGGTGGCTTGTAGGTATGTATGTATGTATGTATGTATGTATGTATGTATGTATGTATGTATGTATATGTGAGTTTATGGGGTTTATAGCAGGGTTTGGGGCTTTTTGTTCTTGGCTTGTAGGGGTGGATGGGTTCAGCTTGTGGTTTTTCTTGGCTGGGAGTGTGGGTGTTAGGGCTTAGGCCTTTTGGGAAGTAGGGGGAAAATCTTCAAGACCTTATAAATGCTCAACAAGGGATCCGAGGATAGCACCCATGCTTTAGGTTTCTGAAAACCCTTAGGTCGATCCTGTACACGCCCTATAGACACCCTATACACCCCTAGGAGTCCCTTGAGCCATAGCCCGAAAGGACAGCAAGCCAAAACCTTAGATTCTACACCTTTAACGCCCCCAACCCCTAACCCGAATTCTTGTTGAACCCCCCAACCCTAACCACCCCCCCCGCAACCCCAGCCCTAAACCATAACCCTACAGCAGCCATAAAGCAGCAAAGGAAAGTTCTCACCGTCGCGGAGGACAGTTCTTGTGAAGTTTGAGACCTCTAGGAGCCTCTCGACGTTTCGGGGCTTAGGACATAGAGTGCTTTGGGTAAAACCCAAACCCCAAACCCCAAACCCTAAACCCTAAACCCTGAACCCCAAACCCTAAACCCCAAACCCTAAACCCTAAACCCTAGACCCTAGACCCTAAACCCTAAACCCTAAACCCCAAACCCTAAACCCCAAACCCTAACCTTAAACCCTAAACCCTAAACCCCAAACCCTAAATCCCAAACCCTAAACCCTAAACCCTAAACCCTAAACCCTAGAGCAGGACGGAGGTCCCCGGTCTTTGCTCTTCGCTCCCGGAATGCCTGGTTTCGGGGGCGCCGGGCCTCCATGTGCGGAGGACGCCCAGGCGGGGCTTAGCTCAGAGGGCCTAAAGGCTTCGGGGGTTTAGGGTTTAGGGTTTAGGGTTTAGGGTTTAGGGTTTAGGGTTTAAGGTTTAGGGGGGCTTTGGGTGGGTTAGGTTTAGGGTCAAAGGTTACAGGGGGGAGAGCTTAGCATTCAGGGTTTAGGGTTTGCGGTTGAAGCTTGTAGGGCAGAAGCTTCGAGGGTTTAAAAAAAGGCTTTGATTTGAGCATTGCGCAGATTTGGGGAGCGAGAGGGATCAGGACCGCCAACTGCTTCGGTTAGATTGGTGGCCCGGCAAGATTCCCGACAAGCACAACGAATCCTATAACCCCGAATCCGCTGAGCCCACGAAACCCTTGGAACCCTGCAACCCACAACCTTAAACCGAAGAGCCTACAACCCAAACCCTGAAACAACCCGAACAACCCGAACCCTAAGACTCTTACTAACCCCTAAACCCCAAACCCCAAAACGTCCCCAACCCTAAGTACCCTAAAGCCCCAACCCTAAACCCTAAACCCTAAAACCCTAAACCCTAAACCCTAAACCCTAAACCCCCTAAAGCCCTAAATCACTCAAAGCCCGAATTCCAGGCTTCGAATGCCACCGACTGGTTGGAGCTTCCGGCCATCTTCCAGTGGAACGGCACACACTTTCAGGCTGCGGGCCCAGCGGCGGGGGGGGGGGGGGGGGGGGGGGCGAGAGTCCCAGAGTCTCAGTGCTTAGGGGTTATGTGCTTTAGGGTTTAGGGTTTAGGGTTTAGGGTTATGTGCTTTAGGGGGTTTCCGGTTAGGGTGGCCTTACAACTCCAGAATGCGCGGGGGGGGGGGGGGGGGGGGGGGTTCTGACATTCAAGGTCCCATGTTTTGTAGACATCCCTTCAATGGGGATTCGGCTGGGGGGTGGGGGAGCACGGGGGAGAGTAAAAGCTGCCAGAACGCTTCCATCCATCCAATAATAAGCTAAGCTGAAGGTTTTAGGTGTAGCGGAGGCCAATGGGTACTGTGAGGCTCCGCTATGTTTGGCGGGTTGGGAGGATTTGGCTCAAGGTTGAAGCTTGTAGAGTGGTCTTGGGGGTGGGTCAAGGCTTCCGAAGTTTGTGACATCTCGGTGCCAAGAAGAGCATGCTCGTGTTCCATATTTCCACGTTGACGACATGTCTGCGTTGCATCCCCCACCCGATCTTCCCCTACCAGCATCCTCGTCGGGTAGCAGCCCAACGCTCTAAAGCCAAGACCCTCATAGCCCTTCACTGTCACACCCTGAAAGCCCTTGAAACCCATAAAGGTTTAGGGTTTAGGGTTTAGGGTTCTCAAACCCCTTAAAGGTTCTGGCCCTCGAGCCCCGCAAAGCCCTCAAGCCCCTTTCAGGGTTAGGGTTTAGGGTTTAGGGTTTAGGGTTTAGGGTTTAGGGTTTAGGGTTTAGGGTTTAGGGTTTAGGGTTTAGGGTTTAGGGTTTAGGGTTTAGGGTTTAGGGCCCAGTTCAGACCGACAGTCCACGTCCAGGAGACACATCGCCTGCCCTTCGGTGCCACGCACCTGGAGCCCTTTGCATGGCAGTCACAGGCTCCTTTTTTTGGGGTTTAGGGTTTAGGGTTTAGGGTTTAGGGTTTATTTAGGGTTTAGGGTTCAGGGTTCAGGGTTTTGTCGGTTTCGGGTTTTGGGGGTTTAGGGATTTAGGGATTAGGGGCATGGTGGTTTCGGGCTTAGGGTTTAGGGTTTGGGGGTTGTGGCTTTGGGGTTTCGGGTTGTGGGTGTAGCATTGTGGGGGGGCTTAGGTTTTGCGTTGCTGGGTTTGCAGGGCTTATGCATGTTGTTTACAACTCCGACAGCCTCTGCTGTTCCATGTGGAACCTCCACGCCTGTAGTGTTTTGAGGACTGGAGATTTCGTGTTTTAGGGTTCTGGGTCCGAAAGGATGCACTTAACCATGCACGTCCAAGGCCTCCATAAGAGTACTCTTCTTTGGGTTGAAAAACGGGCCACAGTTTAGGGTTTAGGGTTCAGAGTTTGGGGTTTAGGGTTTAGGGTTTGGGGTTTCGGGTTTAGGGGCAACTGTTGTTTAAGGGCACAAAAGGTTGCTGCAGCCAAAGTGCCAACACCCTTCCGCTTCTCCCTGCGGACAGGTGCTGTTGTTCGCCGCGGCAGGCCTCTCAGGGTTGAGGGGGTTAGGGCTCAGGGTTGGGGTTTAGGGTCCAGGGTTTAGGGTCCATGGTGGAGTCGTTTAGGGTTTAGGAGGCAGGCTCGCAACACGCAGGCCATGTCTTTTGAGGCCGGGATTTTGCCAGTGGAAGCTGTACCACTGCAGGTTTCAAGGTTGAGTTTTTGCTGCTTTACGTAGGATTTAAGGATCGAAGTGGTTGAGGGCTTGGGGTTGAGGGCAGCTGGTTCAAAATGGCATTGAGAGTGTCGTTTAGGGCCTAACCCTAAACCCTAAACCCTAAACCCTAAACCCTAAACCCTAAACCCTAAACCCTAAACCCTTGACGGGAGATCAGATGCGGGGCACCAATTTCGGCTGGGGGTCTGGGCCATCATGGAGCCCAAGCGTCCCTAAGCCCTAAACTTGCCCTAAACCCTAAACGGCCCGAAATTTAGGGCATTTCGGGTTTAGGGTTTAGGGTTTAGGGTTTAGGGTTTAGGGTTTAGGGTTTAGGGTTTAGGGTTTAGGGTTCACGTTTGTAGTGCGAGGCCAGGGGCAGGCGCAGCTCTATGAAAGCAACGCCAGCGGCAGCGATGAGCTTGTGTTCCTTACCACCAACTTCTCTGCCACCAGGCCGACATTTCGGAGACTGCAGAAACCTTCAACCCTAAGCCCTAAAGTCCTAAACCCTACAACCCTAAATCCCGAGACCCCTCAAGCACAGAGTCAGAAACCCAAGGCTCAGGGAGCCTTGTCTTCTCTTTGGCTCGGCTGCCGCAACGACGCCGGCTACGTGGATGTCGTGACCGGAACCTTGGGTTGACTCAGAGGGGTTTAGGGTTTAGGGTTTAGGGTTTAGGGTTTAGGGTTTAGGGTTTACGGTTCAGGGGGTGTAGAGGGGTTAGGGTTTAAGGGTTGTGGGTGTTTAAGGGTTGTGGGGGTTTGGGGTTTGGGGGGGTTCAGGTTTAGGGTTTGAGGGGTTTTCAGGTTTAGGGTGGTTTGGGGGTTTAGGGTTAAGGGGTTTAGGGGGTTTATGGATTCCCGTAAGGGGGCCTAGGATTGTAGGGCTTCAGGGGAGTTACAAGTAGGTCTTTAGGACTAAAGCCTGATCGGTATAAGCCCCAAATGTAAAACCATAAACTGCAGTCAGCAGATCAGCAGAGTGCCCTGCTGCGACACGGTCGCATCAGTTCACACCATAAACGCCGCTGAGCCCTCAACCCTATGCCGATGCCTATAGCCGTCATCCTACAGGTAAACTTCGTAGCCGAAACCCTAAACCCTAAACCCTAAACCCTAACCCTAAGCCCTAAGCCCTAAGCCCTAAACCCTAAACCCTAAACCCTAAACCCTAAACCCTAAACCCTAAACAAACTAAACCCTAAGCCCAGGACTGCCTTGCTCGCATTTGGGTGCAGATGCCTGTGATAGCAACGACGTGCAGCTTGCTTGTGGACTTCTCTGCGGCTGCGGCTGGGCATGCGTTCGTTTATGTGGCGAAGTTTAAAGGGCTTAGGGGGGTTTAGGGTTCAGGGTTCAGGGTTTAGGGTTTAGGGTTTAGGGTTCAGGCAGCAATTACGGGGTTCAAGCGGTTTAATGAAGGGTTTAGGGTTTACTTGCTTCGAGATTTGGGATGGGTAGGGGGGGGGGGGGAAGGGTTTGCCCAAACGTCCTAAACCCTAAGCTCTAAACCCCAAACCCTAAACCCTAGCCCTAAACCTTAAACCCTAAACCCTATGAACCCTTCATAACCTCCAGGCAACCACTCCGAGGGGTTCCTGGCGGTGGCCTTCGCTTACCCGGAGAGTCGCCTCCAGGTTATGGAGGCATCATTGGGGAGTTTAGGGTTTAGGGTTTAGGGTTTACGGTTTAGGGTTTGGGGTTTGGGGGGGAGGGGGGTGAGGGTTCAGGGCTTGGCTTTACCAGGTTCAGGGCTTGTGATTTGTGGCATCAGTGGCACACCTGTTGACCTTGCTCCCCCTCATCTAGGTGTTTCAGGTGTCCCTGCAAAGCCCGTGAAGCAAAGAAGGCTGCCTTGGAATATTTTTTAGAAGCACCCTAACTATCCTGAAGCCCTAAAAGCCCAGAAGCTCTGGAACGCCGGAGCCCTCAAGCCAAAGACGTACACCAATTCCTGAGCTGAGACAGTGGCTGCTTGCCCGGACAAGAGAAGCTAGGCTCGCAGCCCTGCACAGCTTCTCCTAGCCAGCGCCGCCCGCTCGTCTGGAACATGTCGAAGGATGCTCAGCAAAGGACTGACACTCACACATGCCAGAGGTCGGAGCGTACTGCCGACAGCATGGCCGGCACCAGCGACATAGAGCTGCACTTCGGCGTGGACTCGATGCGGGCCAGCTCCGCGTTGTTGCGCGCAGCATCCCCGGTGTTTGATGGCATGCTCGGAGCCGGCATGGCAGAGGCCCAGCAGCGTGTCATTAAGGTGGAAGTGGCCTCAAAGACAGACTTTGAGTTGTTCTACAGGTTGCTTTTTCCTGCATCGAGAAAGGGCAAGGTCGGCAAGAAGAACGTCGACGCTCTCCTGGCCATCAGCGACTACTACCAAGTCGATTTCCTCAAGGAGGCCTGTGAGAAGAAGCTTCTTAGACTGCCAGCGACGGTGGACCGATTAATCCAAGCCCACAAGCATGGCCTTAAGCGCCAGTACCAGCGCTGCCTTTCTGCCTTGGCCTTGGAGAGTAAGGCAGAGGATATGGCAAGGATCCGTCACTTCTCAGCAGACATCTTGTTGGACTTGGTGGTGAGGGGTCAGGAGGTTCGCACCCAGAATCTGCAGATCCTGCGGTTGGAGATCACGAGCCTCCAGCGCACGGCTGTGGATAGCATCCTTGGTCGTCCCAGTGGTACCCTTTTTTTTTTTTGGGGGGGGGGGGGGGGGGACGGGGTTCAAGGTTCCCTTTAAATGAAGTAAGCAACCCCCCCCCCCCCTAAAGCAAGCGCACCCCCTGGTTCGAACCATGGTTTTGCCGTGAGACCAAGGCATGAAGCCGGTCCCCTCCGACCTTGGACCTGCGAGCATCTGGAACCTGACCTTTGCCAAGGATCGATTGGGATGCTCCCCCCTAATACTAACAGTATACTAACAGTATACTAACAGTATACTAACAGTATACTAACAGTATACTAACAGTATACTAACAGTATACTAACAGTATACTAACAGTCCTCCTTAGTAGGATTGTAGTACCCCCTATTATAATCCCTTTTAAGGGCTGTTAGTATAGGGGGGGAACATCCCGAAGGATCGGGATCGCGGGCAGCACTTTGACGATGCCACCGTCAGAGACTCGGTAGGCCATTGAGGGACATTGTACATGTTCCCAAATATGGGTTTAAGAGGACTATAGGGCCCAAAATTGTAGGATTCCCCTATAATAAGGACCCCCAAAAGGCACCCCTACTTTCAGGAATATTATCTTAGAGGGCTCTAAGGGCCAGCCAAGGAGATCTCAGCAAGTTCAAGCGGGAGCTGAGCCAGAAGCTGTCGCATGTGTTGCAGCTGCTGCGGTGAGGCTGGCGCGGCCTCATTTCCTGCAACCACGACCGTTTAGGGTTTAGGGTTTAGGGTAAGGTTTCCCCGAGCCTAGACTAGCCCTATCTGCAGAGACTTTTCAGGAGGCGACTCTGACAATTCGTGTTATCCGTTCCAAGGACGGCTGCAAGGTTTTAGCCTGCCTGGCGCGGCGAAAGAAGCGCTGTTGCTACTGTTGGGCTGCATCCATCCTAAATCCTAAACACGAAACCCCTACACCCCTAAGTCTTATACAGCTCCAAACGTTTTAAAGCCCTCCATCCAGGAACCTTTAACAGCCCTAAGCCCTAAACCCTAAAACCCTAAGCCCTAGAACCTTAGCCCCCTCTCTTGCTCGTCGTGCCAAGCCTTGAGCCGTTCATCTGCCCCCCCCTGCCAGCTGAGCATCGTTCCAACCCAAACTCCCCTGAATTGAGGAAATATACCTGAAACCGCTCTCATATTACTCATATTAAGGATCCCCATGATACAAGTTAACCAATATTCCTTACCTCCCTTTCTATAATTTAGGGACTTACTGCCCAAAAACTCTTGAGCCCTCTCATGCCCGAGTGCGGGCTACCTTTTTTGTTCAAAGGTTCTGGTGCCCTAGGGTTTGGTCTGGGGTTTAGGGTTTCGGGTTTAGGGTTTCGGGTTTAGGGTTTAGGGTTTAGGGCCATGAACCCAGAGCCGGCCACCTGGGTAGTAGGGTGCACCATCGTCAAGCCTTATGGCCCTACAAGCCCTCAAGCCCTCACGCCCAGCAAACCTAAACCCAATCATGAATCCCCAAACCCTCTAAGCCCTCTAGGCCCTCTAGGGCCCTCTAGACTCTAATCCCTCTACACCCTCCAAACCCTCAAGCCCAAAGCCCAAAAGCAGGTCCTTCCCGGGCCACACCTTCGCTTGGCCACGGTCGCCGTCCTTCCTGGGCCCGTCAGGCAGCTGGCGGCGCGGCTCCCGGGCTTCAGCTTCTGCGAGGTTTAGGGTTTAGGGCTTGGGGGTATCTTAGGGTTGCTTAGGGTTCATGGTTTGAGGGCTTGGGGCTGACTTTTTTTTTTTTGTTTTGTGGGGGGGGGGGGGGGGGGTTAGGAGGGTTTCGGTTTCAGGGTTTTAGGGTTTTGGGGTTTGGGGTATTGGGGTTTGCAGCTAGGCTTTAGGGGTTCGTGGTTTTGGGGCTAAGGCTGACGGTGGCGCTTGAATTGAAGGCAATTTTTAGTTGTTGGGAGTGTACAGCTTTTAGCGTTGAAGGTTAAACCTCAGGGTTGAGGTCTGCTGGACTCGCTAGCGGCTTTCGGTCTAACCCCTGTAAGCCGCTAAGCCGCTAAGCCCTACCCTGCACCCTGCACCCTAAACCCCAAACCCCAAACCCCAAACTCCAAACCCCAAATCCCAAACCCCAAACCCCAAACCCCAGACCCCAGACCCCAAACCCCAAACCCTAAACCCTAAACCCTAAGCCCCTTCAAACCCCAGAAGGCCGCGAGACCCCTCGAGCCCCTGAGCCGAGGTATGTGCCGGCCCTTCTGGATCTGCTCCTGGGCTGCCCTCGAAACTTAAGACGTTTCCGAAAGTAAAATTTCAAGTTTACGATTTAGAGTTTCAAGTTTGGAGTTAAACATGTAAAATCTATTGGGGTCGTTATCATATGATGGAGTCCTACTATTCGCGGGGTTTATTTTGGGGGTCCCCTATTTTCGTAAACGCCCCTAAACGCTAAAACCACCAAACCCTGTACTGCGACCTGAACCCGAAACCCTAAACCCTGAATCCCATGCGACTGTTCCTGCCATGCCTCCAATGGGAACTGTAAGGCCGAAGCCCACTACTCAAGTAGCTCATAAACTGCCCTGGTCAAGTCTTCTGGACACTGTACTACCGTGTCAAACATCAAACCCTTACGTCAACCCGGACAACTCATTCCTACTAGCATTTGTTAGCCTAGTGGTTCCCTTTACCCTTTGTTTGGTTCAAGGTCCCAAAAAAAGCAACCAACCCACAAAGGAATGCCCTCCTTAGACTGTGGTTCCTGGGTTACCAAGTATACCTTGAAGAAGGGAAGCCCTAAATGCAGGTGGGAGTTGACGAAAATAGGGGACCCTAAAACAGACTGCCCCCCAAATAGTGGGAGTCCCTTCTATTAAGCACCCCCAATAAGGTGTCCCTAAACCCTAAACTCTAAACTCTAAACTCTAATCCCTGAACCCTAAACCCCAAACCCCAAACCCCAAACCCCAAACCCCAAACCCCAAACCCTAAACCCTAAACCCTAAACCCAAATTTCGGAAGTTCCCAGGTTCCTCCTGGCCTCATTCCAGCCGTTCACGGGCGCCGACACGGCCGTGTACCGCTGGCACGAGCCCGATGACTTGAGGCCGACCGGGGTTTAGGGTTTAGGGTGTAGGGTTCAGGGTTTAGGGTTGAGGATTTAGGGTTCAGGGTTTAGGGTTGAGGGTTCAGGGTTGAGGGTTTAGGGTTCAGGGTTTCGTGTTTAGGGTTGAGGGTTTAGGGGGTGTTATGGTCTGTAGCTCTTAAGGCCTAGGGTCTTTTGGGGTCTGTAAGGGGTGCTCTAGATTCGGAGTCTAAGGTTTAACGTTTAGGTATACGTTTAGGCGTTGGGGTGTTGAGTATTTGCAAAGACGCTTCACCGAAGCCTTTCGGACATGCGGCCATGTTACGTGCTTGCCGAGAATCGCACTGGCCTGAAGCCCACATAGGGTTTGTTACCCAAAACCCCAAACCCCAAACCCTAAACCCTACACCTTACACCCTACACCCGACGCCCTAAACCCTAAACCCTAAACCCTAAACTGTTCAGCTCTGGCCAGGCATGTGCAAAACCTGGCCTTGGAGGGCTCCTGGGATGGCAACGGTACTTTTGGCGTTTGCAGGCTCTTGACCAAGTACGCACATGCATCTATTTTAATATATATATATATATGCATGTACATTTATTTTTTATCTGTTCATGATTTCCGAAACCCTAGGCTTTGGGGTTTAGGGTTTAGGGTTTAGGCTCAGGCAAAAACCCTAAACCCTAAACCCTAAACCAACCCTTGAGTCTTCAGTGTTTCGGGCTTGCAGAGTCAAGGCTAGGGGGAGCTGAAGAGTGAAGGCTTCAGGTTTCTGCTTGAGGCTTCCGACGCTCCCCAATGCCGCCCTTAATCCGCTGGAGGTCTTTCAGAAGGGGCGGCTACGGGATCGGGTGTTGGGGCCAGGGGGTTTTCATATTTGGGGGGTATTAAAATAGCGGCGAAAGGGATTAGACTCCAAACCTGAAACCCTACACCGAAACCCTAAACCCCAAACCCCAAAAGCTGAGGCGCTGGTGCCGCCCTGCTTCCGGTGGACGACGGCGCCGGCGCTCGGCTGCTGGCGCTGAGCAGCTCTGGGCCACAAGGCGGGGTTGAGGGAGTTGGGGTTTTGGGGATTTAGGGATTTGGGGGTTTATAGGGTTTAGGGTTTAAGGGATTTAGGGTTTAGGGATTTGGGGTTTAGGGTTGCGGTCTCTGGAGCTTAGGGCTTGTTAGGGTCTGGGGAGCCCATATTTGTTTGATGGGAAGGGGGTTTTGGGTTTAGGGTCTAGGGTTTAGGGTTTAGGGTTTCAGGGGGTGTTGGAAGGCTTTTGGGGAAGTGGGGTTTGGGGTTCCCTGGTGCGACAGGAGTGTATTTCTGTAGAGTTTGGTTACTTTGGCTTCTCCACAATGCGAAAAACAATGGCCCGGAACACTAAATCGTAGACTATCTCCCAGCCCACAGAGGGTGTTTAAGTCCTCTCCTTCATGCGAGGTCATGCGGGGTGTGAGCCACGGACTTAAAACGCATTCCATGTACCCCCTAAAACGCAGATGTGTCTCTCGGTCATCTTTCCGGTGTCTGGAAAGCACGCGTTCCTCTGTGGGAGCACTTGCAGGTGCTTCAGTATACAGCGGTTATATTCCGGCGCTAAAGTTGGACTTGGGCTTTTTTGGCCTCTTGTCTTCAGTTCTCCAGCTGCACCAGCTGCTCTTAACCTTACAAGCCTGAGCCCCTATACCCTGATCTGAACCCCTAACCGCAAACCCCCAATCCCCCAACCCTAAACCCCAAACCCTAAGCCCCTAAACCCCTGAACCCCAAACCTAAACCCCCAAAGTCCCCAAAGCCCCCAAAGTCTTCCAGGTAGGATGACACGGCTCTTCGCAACTGACGGCAGCTTCTCCTGGCAGACGGGGTCCTATGGGCCTTGCAATGCCAGCTGTAAAGGCAATGCCGGTGTTGCATCTCGTGTGCACGTGACCTAAACTTAAACCCCAAACCCCAAACCCTAAACCCTAACCCTAACCCTAAACCTCGGGTTTTTCGAGGAGACTGGGGATGGCTGAGGCTTAAGGTTCGGGGTTTTTTGGTTCTGGGTTGCCTTCTGAAGTAACCAACCGACGACAGGGTGCCCTTATTACAATGTGATATTGTTGACCAAGCAAAGTACCAGTGAATCCAAAGAGAGCCCCAAACCCCCTTCAGCCACAGCCCCAAAACCAGAGAACCCCTTGAACTTCGAAACCCTGAAGCCCTAAGACCCTCAAACTGACAAACCCTCCCTAACCCGAACCCTAAACCCTAAACCCTAAACCCTAAACCCTAAACCCTAAACCCTAAACCCTAAACCCTAAACCCTAAACCCTAAACCCTAAACCCTAAACCCTAAACCCTAAACCCAGCCCAGGTCTACCGCGAACGGCAGGCCCTTCCTGCACCGCACGGCTTGAAGTCAGGGTCGTGTGGTCTCGGGTTTAGGGTTTAGGATTCAGGGTTTAGGGTTTAAGGTTTCGGGCTTTAGGGTTTAGGGGTCAAAGGGTTTGAGGTTGAGGGTTTAAGGTTTCAGGTTTAGGGTTCAGGGGTTTCGGGTTTAGGGTTCAAGGTTTCGGGGTTCAGGGGTTTAGGGTTTAAAGTTTCGGGTTTAGGGGTCAAAGGGTGTAAGGTTTATGGTTTCGTGATTAGGGGTTTCGGGTTTAGGGATT